TATATACAACTGACAATAACTGGTTGCTAAGACTAGCACAAAAGTATCGGCCAAAATCGGCTATGCTACGTGGGCTAAATAAATTCACAACCACAATTTTAAATAATAATTGGTCGTTAACTAGTTTTACTTGGTCGTTAGTTAGCCTAAAAACAAGCGCTAGTTCCCTCCAACTGATATAAACCAGCTCGAACTAGAGTTAGAATACACTAGGTATATGCTAACTAACTAAAATTAAAACACAACTCCAGTAAAACTAAGTTCAAATCAATCAAAAAATGTCTACTCGTTCGGGCGCCAATGTAACGTGCCGTTTTTCCCGCTCGGAATATATGCGCTATTCCGTAGTTAAAGCGGGAAAGACGTCACCAACTCTCGCCAGCGGATCGCTCAAGTCGGCGTGCTGGGAAGTTTCCAGGGTTCAGATAAAAATTATTGATTTAATTAACTCAAAACCTAGCACAGGTACAGATTTGTATAGACGCAAAAATGTAGTGTGGATCAGGTGTGAACTCAGTACCGGTAACCAACAACGCTACTGTACCATCATCATTGTTCACACCTGGGAACAGCTAATTAAATTAAATTTAAAAATAATGAAAAACCATTCAACGAAATTTTGAAACAACTTAATGTTGCAGTTTCGTCAACCTCAACACTTAGAATATTATTACTAGCGAAATAGTGAATATACACTTAGCGTGCTCCACCCGACCTCGTGTTTGCACGACCTGCAGAGACGGGTTCAACTTTGCCCGCTTTGCCGCAGCAGTTCAACACCTGCTGAATATCCCGGCAAAATATCCGCTATAACCCCGTCACCCTCAATATATATTGTAAACACAATATTAAACGAAATTTGTATCCCTAAAACTCCTTATTGCCACCCACGGGAGCCCTAGCATACGCTAAAGCGGACTTATACAAGTTCTAACACCCGACAAAGATCCTACCGTGAGTTTTACGTCCAAAAGAATAAAATGAGGGTTTATCGCTAAATCTAAATAATAAAAAATAATAGTACACACTATTAAGATAAAGCCGGCGAATTACCTGTATACTCCAGGGATCTTCACTGACACACTAAAGCACACGTTTAGCAAAATCACTCGTTTCAAAGCAAGACACGTCCTAACACTGGAAATCGCAGAATTAGAATGTCGTCGCATCCCTTGCCCACAAGGGATCTTCACTACTTCCCCCTCCCTAATCCTCTAGGGATGGGGAATCAGCTGATTCAATTACCAGCTGATCGGTGACGTCACGAGTTCAAACTTGGCGCTGTCACAACACAACGCCAAGACAGCCGACTAGTAGTACAGGTTATGTTGTTAATGTTGTTATTCACCTGCGCCGACTGTGAAATTATACGCGGAACTTAAATATCATTGCTGGTTTAAACAAAAAGTATAATTTCCACCCGTGACATGTAGCTAAGTGTGCGACAAAGTGTATGCATGTTATGTAGTGATATTGTATTTGTGATCGCGGTTCACCACCCTAGCCTAACCAACAACTTTGACCGTACTTCCCAAAGGTGTATATTAGGCATGGGGGTTACACGGAAACGGTTTATCACTCGTTTTGTACACAACGATGCAATACTGTGACTTGTGAATCTAAAAAATAGTGTCTTTAGTGATTTTGCCAAAAGTGAGGTTATCCCTACTTCAACCCTAGGATAGGCCTAGAACAGCCTATTTACCTTACCATGATAGGTTTACCACTATCACCAACCAGGTAAGGAATAGGCCTACTGATAATTAAATAATAAATATAAAAACTTAACCCCTCTATAATTTTGACCCATTACATAGGAATAGTAAAACAAACTATTGTAATGGAAATTTAAGGAAAATTGCAGTCTTCCTTAAAAACATTTTTTAAACATAAAAAGAAGTTGAATCAAATAAAGTCCATGTCTAGTGTGCAATTAATGAGGAATTCACCAGTCTACAGCAACGATTCGTGGAAGGGATTGGTGCTGGATTTATCACCAGGCCACGGCCTACTGCCACAAGCAAAAGCGATAGCAGCCTTTTGTGCAAAACATTTTTTTAAGAATATAAATTACATTTTTTCCTACAGTTACCTGAGGCTTTCTTGCATTGATTATAGCATTCAAAGTAGCTAATTGCTCCATTTACTTACTTTTGCCACACTCATTTTTTTCCGCACTCCAATATTCCAACCAAACAACAAAAAACAGTGTGCTTTTATTAGACACGCAATACGTGTACGCTTTAAAATAAGTTGGCAACACTTAAAGACACTACGACTAAAATCAGCTGGTGCAGCGTTTCCCATTTCGTTTAGCGCTTAGATTTAACCTAACCGAAAATCGTGTTATATAGTGTAATTATGCTTTATAGTAGCTGTAGCAAAAATATATCGGTAATTTGTAACGAGAAAAGTGCCTTTGCTGCACTCATACACAAATAACTATTTTATATAATTTTTCAAGCAAATTTTCTATATGCACAAATCAGTCACGAGCATTGTGACTGCTGGAACTGGTCGCTAAAGTTGATGAAAAGGTTTGCGAAAAACGCTGATTCACGATAACGGAGTTTTTGCTTTGTTTCCCTCAATTTACACGGACATTGTTGTTTGAAATTATCACACATCACAACTGGCGGGATTTTCAAACACAGCGCACATTTTAAGCTAAAATTGCGAAAAAAACGGGCAAAGCGAGGATGCTCCCATTGTCACGGCTGGACGCCTGGAAGTTAAGCCACTGTGCTCTTTTCTGTTGAAAACCAACACTTTTTGAGAGGTTAAATTATTATGACAAACTCTTTTTAATTAGAGCATCGATCAAATACTGTATCTAAAATCAGATTTTAATAAGTAGTGGACCCGTGAGTGGCTCGATTTCATGTTTTCTATTTGAATATAAAAATTCGATACAGTGTATACTGTTGAATGTAATTTTATTTTTATATAATATGTTTGCTGTTACTTGTTCTGTACTTAATTTAATTTATGTTGGTAACAGCTGATCATGTGTAAATAGTTAGGATTGTTTTTGTTATAATGAGAATTGTTGTATAAGATATGTTTGAGTAAAAATGTTGTGTGTGTATTTCAGTAAAATAAAAGATAATTATTGTAACAGTAAAAACTTAGGTGTTAGTAATTTACTTTCACTTAAGTCAACAGGTTATGGGGCCCAGAAAAATTCACGAATTCAACCATAACTGTAAAAACAAGAAGTAATCTTCTGTGTAATATTTACGAAAGAGACTCAGAGCAGCAGAAGTACTCATTATTACAAGAATTCTTTAACTTAAGTTATGAGCCTAATTCTGATATAAGTTCTCACATAAGTAGAATTGAAAACATAGCACACAGACTAAAAACTTTAAAACAAGATGTTGATGACAAAATGATAATATCAAAAATTCTTGTCAGTCTGCCAGATAGATTTAAGTATTTTGTAACTGCCTGTGCCTGGGAATCAATGCCCAATGAAGAAAAGACATTGGCAAATCTAACAGCGAGACTGTTAGCAGAAGAGTCAAGAAGTGAGTTAAAGGAGGTAAGCCTAGAGAAAATCTTGCGTTCCAAGTTGTTTGTCACAACTGTAAAATTCCAGGCCATAAAGCAAAATACTGCAAGAAGCCTACACACAATAGGGCTAACTCAATAAGTTTCATAAATTCAGCGAAGCTTTGATCTACTATCCAAAATCTTGAACAGAAGATGATAATTGAGTTATTTATTTTTTGTTTCTTATAGAAAATTAAAATTATGGGAAGGTGTTGAATGTAATTTTATTTTAAATAATATGTTTGCTGTTACTTGTTCTGTATTTAATTTAATTTATGTTTGTAACAGCTGATCATGTGTAAATAGTTAGGATTGTTTTTATTATAATGAGAACTAGTGTACATGTTGCTCGACTTCGAGCAATTGCAAAGTATTACAGGAGTTATTTCAAAACAAATACCAGTCATACAATGTGAGTTTAAAAGAGTCGACTCAAAGATTACCTGTGTTTCAGACCATGTTTATCTGCGTTATTGATAAACCTAAAGCATTCCGGCCAGTTTTCACAGGCAACACAGGTCATTGATAGAGGCCAATTGAGAACGAAGAGTCGTTTTGGGGTAGTGTTAGGATGCATTTGTAACCTAATAGTTGAGATTGTCGAGGGTCAGGTGCTGACTGTGATATGTTAAGCCTATTACCTGCCACTGTTCTGTAGCTGCGGTCGTTATCACGATTACGCCTCTTGTCTATGTTTCGTTGTCGTCACGTCGGAGGCATTTAAAAGAAAAAAACAACAAATAAACAAATAATAGCTACACAAAACAACGATAAATAAACAAATTTAAGTTACAATCATGCTAACACGATCTGTTATAGCGACACAAAACAACGATAAATACACAAATTTCAGATACAACCATACTAACACTATCTGTCTTGGGGGTTATGTTTACACAAACTCAAATAGTAAATAAATGTACTCAATGCGTTTCATTGAATTGAAAAATAAAACAGCAATTTAACTATACAGCTGATCAAAATGTAAACAATTATGTTCTTCATAAGGATAATATGGAAACTTTCAAAGCCACTGGGGCAGAGCCCAAGGGACTTTTTCAAAAATGTAAGGCCAGTTTGCAAATCTACGCGACACGCTCTTTCCAATGAGACGTGAATGGATAAAATCAGTTAAGAAATGGCGGAGGAGTTCAACCGACAAAGTTTCATGTAGCATATTAATTATATAGATTGTTGTATAAGATATGTTGAGTAAAAATGTTGTGTATGTACTTCAGTAAAATAAAAGATAATTATTGTAACAGTAAAAACTTAGGTGTTAGTAATTTACTTTCACTTAAGTCAACATATACTTTAGTGACCAAAAAATGATGGTATTGTATAATAAATGAAGGATATGCAATTCAAAGGGTTCATATATCCTAAAGTAGCATTTGTAAGTACAATCGTTTTAGTTATTTGACCAACATATCTGCTAACCGCAGGTGTCTGCTGCTCCAGAGCCACTGTATGATGTTCCTCGCCCTCACATCTCATTGTTGGCAACACTGCGTGCACAGACTGCTCGCTCAGAAGCATTCGCTCCCACCCACTTCCTCTGCACCACCCCCCTCATAGACACAGACTCTCTTGATCCAGTCATAACCAGGTAACACTTCTAGATTTGACATTCTAAATTTTCAGATTAACTCTAGTGACTCAACCCGCTCTCCATCTATAATGACCAGAACGTGTAAGATTCCAGTTTACTATGATACTGATATACAACTGTAACATTGCAGGCTAGATGCAGACATCACACCAGACTCACTAGAGTGTGAATCACCCTACCAACTCCAATGACTCAACCCGCTCTCCATCTATAATGACCAGAACGTGTAAGATTCCAGTTTACTATGATACTGATATACAACTGTAACATTGCAGGCTAGATGCAGACATCACACCAGACTCACTAGAGTGTGAATCCCCCTGGTCTCTGAGTCATCCTACCAACTCTAATGACTCGAGCCACTCTCCATCCATGATGACTAGTTTTATCACCAGTGAAGACAAACAGTTCCCTGACTCACTTAACTCATAGATTTATAATACCCCTTCTGCCAATGCTTCTTCAAAAAATCAAACACTTCTCCATCTTGCTCAGACCTTTTTTTAATGCCTCAACTCATTGTTACATGCTGCCTTACTTGCTCAACCTGTTCTACTTGGTTACTATTGTACTTTAAATAATAAATTTTCACTTAGCATAAAAATGGCTCAGTATTATTTGTGAATAGTTTTAGTTTGTGTATTAATGGAAATAAAAGTATTGTTTTCAGTTTTTCTGTTTACATTTAATTTATTCCTACATTTAATAAAATTATTAAAATTTGAGAACTTTACTTTTGGATACTGAAGTTAACACCCCAACTATTATAAACCAGCTTTTGCCAATTAGAGATTATCATGATAGGTCAACCATCGATGGTAACATCGGTATTACCAATCGATGTACCAATCAATATAATTTTTTTTTTAGGGCCAAAACTTTGATAATCAGATATTTTTATTTTGAGTTTTTTGTCTGCTTTCTGCTTTAGCTAATTAATCTAGCTACTAACTAGACTTTCTATAACTTATTGGCAGTTTCTCTTTTACATTTGAAAGACCAAATATTGGTCTTAATCTTGATTAATATCCTGGAGCATGAATTGTTGACAACATTTACAACAAGCACCACAACAATACTGGGGTTACCTCACTCTACTTTTGTCCAATTCTAGTCCAGTTCACAGTATTTTTAATGCAATATTTCATCAGCCTTTCAATGAATAAAGATACCAAATTTTTCAATTTCTTACATAGTTTTTTTTTATTAAAAATAATAGAATTCAGTAATGGGAATAGCATTGATATTTCAATAGTTGGCCAAAAACACAGATGTAACAAAAATATCGGCAGCCTTTGATCTGAAGAACTAACATGTTTGTTATATACAAATAATGGGGTTAAATTGAAGAAAGTTTAGATATAGCTAAATAGCAATAAATCACACTTTGAAATGGTTTAAGTGAAACCACGTAGGCTTTTTGTTAAAAATGTATTTTTTTCAATAAAAACCTTATTTGTACAACATTCTACGCTTTTCGTTTAAAAGATCTGTTTTTGTTGGGCTTCTTATTTCCTTTAAGCCTCTTCCTCACTCCCATTCCTTCTTCCGTGTCGTCATCCATACCTCCATTTTTCCTCTTTCCCTTTTTCTCTTCCAAATCTTTCATTTCCTGAATTACATCAAATACATTTTATAAAACAACGTTTAATAATGTTGAAATATCATATTTAATAAATAAATGAACTGCCACATTTAATAAAATGCCAGAGAGCTGACTTTTTGTGTAATTTAAGAATAATGTAAATGTGATTTAGATTTCAATGTTAAAGCAATTTATCTAAAAATAGTATCTCACATAGGGACTACTGTAAATTGTTAAATAAAAAAAGGTCCATGAAAGACCACATAGTTGACAGTTTAGTGCTCTTTAAAAATAAACCTGATTCAGCCGAAGAGCTTATAAGCTCAGACACCGCTTATTCAAGGTGGGCCCTCCACACCAACTAAGCCACATATTATTGAGCGTAAAATGGATTGCATGCCACCATCGACTGAACGTGACAAGTGATTCAACGAAGCAATGCCTAATCATACACCTGGGGGCTGTACCCGTGCTTAGATTTTAAAATATTAAGTATAACTAGTGCACCTGTTGCTCGAATTCGAGCAATTGGAAAGTATTAGAGGCGTTATTTCAAAAAAGATAATGTAATCAATCACTCCACTCCAGTTATCAAAACTGAAAACGAACTCACTCTGAAAACAACACTCTTGTGCGTATCATGACGTATTCACTATGAACAGCTGTAATTAATACAAATTATTGGTCCGTTTAAGTAAACAAAATCTTTTATTCGTAAGAAATACATTGGGAATTTGATGGCCTGTGGGGCAAAGCCCGAGGACTTTTATTAAAGGAGTTGGTGAAAGGTCTATACAAAAAATACTTAATTTTGACACATCGTTCGTAAAAATCCGTCCATTATTAACGGAGGAGTAGTGTTTCGTAGAAATCGCCTTCACGTATTATATATAAGGATTACTGGAGAGCAACTAAAAGCTTAAGAAAAAAAACTTTATGAAAAGAATAAGCCATTCCTCTAAAAATTCCGCATTTATCCAACAACCAATCAAAATTAATACATTAAGATAGGTACTCTAAAATTTTGGAGCTGTTAAATTTGACACATAAAATATTATCTCTGGCAAGATTTCATTGAAATCAAGTAATATTAATGGCACAGTAATTATTAAAATACTGGAGAAGACAGCTTTGAATAAAAAACAGCTGATTAAGAACCTGAAAAAAAAGCTTCATTGATAGGCATGCTAGCGTTTACTTCCTACACCCCATACAATTATTTTTTTTGTTTGTCTTTTAACACGTTCACTGCGTTGTATATTTTCCTGCATTATTCCAATGGTGCGATTCGAGATCTATAGGTCTCGTCCGCTATGATTACCCAGGTGCGATACGAGACCCCGAGATTACGTTGCGCAGTAATCTTTTGCTCATCATAACCTCGCAAAGAAAAGAGAGAGAGTGCTGAGTGTTTGTTTATGTGAATCAGTACAATGTTGACAATCTTCAGCCAGCCCAGGAAGTGAACATGACGTCATTGTACGAGACCCGAGATCTCGTACCGCACAGCTGTAATAGTTCATTATTTATTTGTATTTATTATTTTCCTACAATAACAAATTAAGAAAAATATATGTTATCTGTTTATTTACGAATTCTTTATAATCGTAACCGTAGTAAAATATATATTTTATCTTTCTATTATCACTTTTTATATTAATGGGTTTCCTAACGGCTGATTTCAGGCTAAATAAAATACAAATGAAATATGTTTACAAATTACTGTATTTATTTCGTTATAATTTTGGGGTTGGGCAATGACCTCGAAATGAGTGCGTGCCACAGTGAGTCGAGTGAGCGGGGGGAAGGGGTGGATGCAACCTTGAAGCTATATTTAGACTTGCACCACTTCCCTAAAGGGCTGGGAAAGGGGATTCCAATCGCAAAACAAAAACCAATGATACAAAAGTTGTTTATCGAAAATTCCTTGTCCGGTTTGACAATTATTTAGCATTGATTTTTGTATGATTTAGTAGGGACCAGGAGAAATATTCGAGTTAATGTAATGATTTGCTTTTTTACATCAAAATACAGCATTGAACAATGGTGATATTTTAGGTCATTTACTAGTGACCTTTAATACGCATCCGTTAGTGCTGTTAAGAAGAGAAACACATCGATAGTTAAAAAGATTTATGTTCCCGTAGTTGAAAACAACGATAGAAGTTGAAAACAATTAGGCCTAATATATTGTAAACCTATAAAACATTAGATAACTCTGTAAGATAACAGCATAAAAACACCATTATTCTTTCTCTTTGTTCTTGGAATTATTTCTTGGGTTTCCTTCTTTCATCCTAACATTCAACAAAGGTTGCCATAGTTACTAATATCCCCATTAGCCTCATGTGGTGCTTGGAAAAACTATTCTTGATACGAGGCCCAGAGGTCTGGTGTCGTAACAAAGTAAAGGTTTATTACTTCAGTGCGTTACGAGATCTATTTATCTTGTTCATTTCATGTTTACTAGTTGATACATCAAGAAAAATGCATTATATATGTACAAGTTTCATTTCTTTACGATAACTGTACGCCGAAATATCGATGTCGTAACTTTTGGAAAGAAGCCAAATTATGGATCCCGCACTACGGGCTAGGTACGATACGAGACCTCGGGATCTCATAGCGCAGTGAACGTGTTAAATGTCCAAGTACGTGTGTTATTTATTATCTGTATTGAAAACCTTCAAGTAAAGCGACAAGACATCTACTGAGCCTGAAGATGACTACTAGGGTTAGTCGAAATTCGTTGCCCTATAGCAACATTATGGGTTTTATGAATGCAAGTACATTGAGCAATTTTGAGAAATAACTTATGAACGCACCATTTTAGCCACTCGTCTAGCCTCGTCCACTCTTTCTTGTAGACACATAACCTCTTCATCCTCGGTCTTGTACAAGGGGAGCTTCTTTCCAATCAGATGTTCTATCCTTTGGTACAGTTCTACGTCATACTGCAACAACACAAGAGTCATCATAGCGGGAGTTGATGCTGAATACTTTATTTAGTTTACTATTCAGTCTAAACGGCCAGTTCAAACGATAAAAATTTCTTTTCTCTGGTGGACATAGACCTGAGATTGTTTGTTACATTTCTTCAGGTCAGGTCAGTATTTGATCTAAGCCCTTAGGGCTAGCACCGTTTCTGGCACTTTAGTCTTTTATGACCTTGAGCTTCTTGGCATAGAGAATACCCTGGAATTGTCCTCACCCTCCATCATCATCGGGATGACATAAAAACAAAATCTGACATTACCTTTGGACCACTATATATAAGTTAACATACAGTATAAATTTGTATGTGTTTATAAGATACAAAACAGCTTATCACGAGAAGAAATTAACGGTATCAGCAATCTGACACATACTTTCCTCCATTTGCTTGTCAACAACCTTTATCATGGGTAAGCGGTGGGAGTATTAAATGCTATAGGGAAAATAATAAAAGTTGAATTAACTTTTGCACTGTAATTTTTACAGCAATGATGGGTGAAACTATTTTGTTTAGAATTATAAGGACCATAACATACTAATTTTAATCAAAACATACTTTTTTAAATATCCGATTTTCCGTTATTTTGTGACGTTTATATGAGAAAATAACATAAGTGACAATAACTTTTCAACCATAATTTGTACAGCAATAGGATTTGTACAATAATTTTGTTCAGAATTTAAAGGACTCTAACCATAGACAAAAAGAATTAAATATAGACCGTCAGCTGTGCTGCGGTTACCATAGGTTCTGGCGCACACCACTTGGAGCGCCATGTAGTTACGGCGTACGCGCTACGTAAACTACAGCGGTGTGCAGGAACCTATGGTAACCGCAGCACGGCTGACAGTCTATATTTAATTCTTTTTGTCTATGCTCTAACATACTAAATTTTCATTAAAATTGTTCGGGCCACTTTCAAGAAAGTTGGATTTCCCTTTATTTTATGGGTATTAATGGAAAAATCGCCATTAAAAATCAAACACACAGACAGACAGACATCACTTTGAAAACCACTTTTTTGGGTTCAGAGGGACCCAACACGGATACATCTACTCAAAACTCAAACGAACAAATTTTTACAAAAAATACTTTCTCCATATACAAAATAAGGGGAAAAAGTAAATGGTAATTTTTTTGTTAAATACAAATGAATAGATAACTTAAGTCAACTGGTAGATAGAATGTATGTGTAAGTTTAGGGCTCAATAGGAAAGACTCAACATACCTGAGTGACAAATGTGATTGCCACACCTGATCTACCGGCTCTGGCAGTGCGACCAACTCGATGGATGTAGTCTTTGCTGTGCGTCGGAATGTCAAAGTTGATAACAACATCAACATGAGGAATATCCAGTCCTCTGTAAAGTTAATTAAAAGCTCAGATTATAAACAAAGCCATGTGAAAAACAAATTATCTTCCTACAAATAAATATTGCTTTGTCTTTATGAGCCCTGAGAATTTTTCATGTATTTTACAAGCCATTTTCCTCTCGTAGGCCTAAACATATATATTTTAATGGTTATCAAACTTTTTTAGGAGACACACACAGACGGGATGAATAAAATGTTTCAAAATGTCTGATTTGAGGTGCAATCCCTGATACTTTTCCCATCATAACCACTGTTTTTTATTAGATGAACCCATTCCACAGATGGTTTTAACTCCTCTTGACCAGATCTGACTAAGATGGAATTTGAACCCTCAATGCTTCTGTCTCTTAACTCACAGGCAAAAACCTTAAGACTGCTTGACCATTGTTCACCCCAATAATTGTTTACCGCAATTACAATACTGATAACCAAAAACCCAAGCATAAGAGGTACTAAAACTAAGCTTTACACCCAGATTGCAGTAAATATCAGGTTATGAGTTATGATAGCACAAGTAGTTGTAAATGATGGTTTGGTTGTTGCACATTGGATGCTGACACACAAGGGTGCATATTCTTAGGCAAAGATGAATGAGAACATTTACACACTCAGCATGCATGCTCTGCAACTGCCGCCAAACCGTCTACCACTCAAAATTAGCAAAGAAAAGAATAAGTGGAAACATTTATTGAAGCAGAGATTGGAAGGAGCTCAGAATTAAAAAGGGAATTGAATTAACTGCGAACTGATAATGGTTTGAACACGCCACCTGTTATCAGTAGTAGAGGCAGAACGGGTGGAGAGCAGGCGGGGGTTAGTCCTGGCAGCCATGGCCTCACAATACAGTATTACACAACTTACACTTCACTGAATCTCAACTTTGGAGGTAAAGGATATCTATCTGATAACTTCCCCGATATTGTTAGACGATGGATATTCATAGCACGGACAGAGACTATTTGCTTGAATTTTAAACACTGTATGATAGTTATGCTAAACTGTATTTGTTCTTATTGCAATCTAAATGAGAATGAAGACACTTATCACTTGGACACTTGCTCGTTGTCAAATTTTAGCGCAAATAAGAACTAAATGGCTCTTAAAAGTAGATTCAACTCACTCAGAGTTTATAGATTTCTTTAATGGAAAAGATTGGAAATAATAGCAATTTTTTTAAGGATGCTTGGAAGTAGGGCCTATAGGAGGGATCCGTTTTTAGAATTTAATGTCTAGACCTAGTGGAAAAACATAAAAAAAATGTTTTGCTAAATTAATTTAATTTATTATTCACATATTACTTATTATTGAGATCAGTATGCATACTAAAGAAAGATAACCCATACACTTTATTAAGTCACCACCATAAAACACTTTGTTAAAGACATAGCCTAATTTTTAAAATTTTCGCTTTTATGTGTCTGTATGTGTGTATAACTGTACCGTATATGAGAGATATTTTAAATGTATAATAAATACAGAGTGGCTGAAAAGTAACTTGCACCCCCCCTTAACTTTTCAAACATTTGAGATATTTGAAATCTGTTTGCGGCAACCTTCTTAGATATGAGGGGCTACAATAATTATGGCCAATTTTGAAAATTTTGCCCTTAGGGGTAATGAGGGTAGGGGGTAGCTCAAAATTTTCAAATGACAAGTATAGTCCTGTTTGGTATCATTTTACAGGTCTTGACGAAACATCAAAATTGACATAAAGAAAACCAAAATCGGACCACTAATAACAAAATGGCGCCCTAAAACAATTCAAATCCAAATAACCATGAGGGTGGCTGAAAATTAACTTGCAACCCCTTTTACTTTTTAACTATTTGAGCGCCATTTTGTTATTAGTGGGCCGATTTTGGTTTTCTTTATGTCAATTTTTATGTTTCCTCAAGACCTGTAAAATGATACCAAACTCGACTATACTTGTCATTTGAAAAGTTTGAGCTACCCCCTACCCCCACTGACCCCTAAGGGCAAAATTTTCAAAATTGACCATAATTATTGTAGCCCTTCATATCTTAGAAGGTTGCCGCAAACAGATTTCAAATATCTCAAATGGTTGAAAAGTTAAGGAGGGGTGCAAGTTACTTTTCAGCCACCCTGTAAAATTTATTATTAATGTCATACATGGGGTCCTAGTTTTAGTCATATCAAAAGAACATTTTGTTTTAAAATTTTGTCAACCAGGCAGACAATCTTAAGAACATTGTTGTCAAGTGCTATCTAGGCCTAAATTTAGTTGTTATGCAGATGATTATGTTTTGTTATCAGTTGCTGTGTATGTATACAGTTTATTGTGTTAATAAAGCTCTTTTTTCATTTAATTTCACAAATATTGAATGAATGAGATGACAGCTTTTACTGACTAAGAACAACTCGTTCTTTGCCCAGGACCATTTATTAAAAGCCTTATGAACGGCTATTGATGGCTGATATATCACACTTGGGGGCCTATATGGTAAAACGTATTGGATAGCACTCAGTCTTTCCAAACAGTTTATTGCACTACTTGTTAGAAAAGAAAGCTCCTCATGTCTTATCAGACCATATGTGTGACATAAACAAAACTCAATAACCTGACCTGCTGGCAACATCAGTGGAGATCAATATAGACCTGCTCTTGGCTCTGAACTTTGTGAGAGCTGCAAGTCGCTTGTTCTGGCTCATCTGTCCATGTAGTGGCACTGCGGCCATGCCCAGGTTACGAACCATCAGCGCCGTCCTCAGTGTGTTGGCACAAGTGGCGCAGAATATCATGAATGAGTTGCCTGCTAACTCATTCAACAGGTAGATCAGGTACACATCCTGAAACAAAGTATAACAGTCATGGTGGAAGAATCACAATGGCATTGCTTAAAAACCTGTGTCTCTTTAGTCTTTAGTGACCTTTGGCTAAATAGAATCACATGAGATATGTCTAGTTTTTTTGTGATAGACCTAGTGCAAAAAATCATAGTAAAGATATAAAAAAAAAACAGAGCAATTGTCAAGTATTACTTACAGGAGTTATTAAAAAACTAATAACAGTTATAATATTTGATGAGTTTAAAATACTCAACTCAAAGCTTATGTACCTAATGGCAATACTCACTCCGTTCATATCAGTTTGATATAATCAACATTTTTCTTATAAATATTTATCATTTTTCAGAAGCTGACCTTGTTTTTTTAAAGTTTTTTTCTACAAACGTTTCCCTGACTTAAAATCACTTTAATTTTGTAGAAATGCAGATTAAATTTCCTTGACGTACCAGTACCAGTTGTATTTAGCCTCAGATGGTTTTCCTCAGCAATGATCACAAATTAAGTCCATGTAACCTACTAAAAATGTTATCACTTTGGCTAACATTCTAGTTCACCATTTGTAGGAATCAATGTTGTGCTCTTCATTATATAGGCTAATTAAATTACAATAATAAATAAAAAATAAAAAAAACATTAACTCTATTTCTTCTACCTTGTGGCATTCAATGGGTTTTCTATGTCTCCATAATTTGAAGATCGGTTCTTTCAATGATAGCGCAAGAAATACAGTACTGTTGTCAGTTCAGTTTTCCTATTTGGTGAAATATATGAAATTGTCCAGGCTTTTCCTATTATAATATAAACACAAACCTCGATTCAAATTAGTAAGTATTTTATTCAAACAGAGTTGGTAAGTTTATAGCATGTGTTTCCGCAATTTAAATGTTAACAGCAAATAAATTATCGAAGTGATCATGATGTAAACAAAAAAGGAAAACAGAAAAAGGAGAACTTTCTAAAAGCCACTGGGGCAGAGCGCAAGGGACTTTTCTACATATACCGGTAAGACCTTATATGACATCTACTCAATGAGATATTTCCAATGATCCATAAACTAACAAAATTGGTTCAGACATCAGAGAGGAGTTCTGCCAACAAAAATCGTGCTTACCTATTTTATATATAGATCTTAGTAAAATTATCTCGGTGAAAGATTTATTTATAATGCTTAAACAACCAAAATTGGTAATTTTCAGAAAGAATAAGTCAAAAAGCTGGAATCTACCGACCTAATAGTGTAGTTCCCTGAACCAAAAACATAGCTTCACATATTTACACTTAGTATAACTACTTACTTTGATTGGGCTTGGAAAATAAATCAAAGTGTGTAGAAAGAGTTGTTTGAATGAAAATCATTACCTTGAACTTTAAAGGGATGAAAATGTAGTACTGACGAAGTTGATCAACAGTTTTGTATTTTGTGGAAACTTCTACTTTCACTGGGTCGACCTGAAAACAATCAGTTCACCAAAATTAACAGTGATTTAAAAAAGATAAGCACTAAAACAATGAATGGAAATGAAATTAAACATGAAACAGGCAAAGTTAGGGCCCCACTTAATCTGTATAAAGACAGGTAATATTGTTATGCATGAGAGAATAATAATCATTTATTGTTGTAAGCACCAGAGTGCAATAGACATAATCAACATTATATCATAGATAAAACCCCCTTAGTAGATTTATCATCCTTATGGAACCGCTGGAGCCAATTTTATAAGCAAATTTCCCTATTGCGTATTGCGTATTACCGTAGGTAAGACCTACGCCCAGGACCAATTTATTTTTTTCATTTTAATGTCCCCAGAGGCCAAAAACACCATTCGTTCAAATTTGTATATATGAATATTATGTGTGTGTGTGTGTGTGTGCCTGTAAACGCGATAATTTGGGGAATTTTTGGCGATTTTGATCAAATTTGGTTTAAAGGTGTAGGGCAGGATAAAATTGATTAAGTTCGCGAACACGAATGATCGGACCATGGGAACGGGGTTTTACAGGGTAAAAGTTGGTTTTTCTCATTTTTGACCCTCAAAACACAAAATTTCCCAATGATTTCTCTCTAAACCTTTTAAAAGAGCTTAAAAAACCAAATTATTTAATATTAAAGTGTTTTTGGGTACTTTCCTGTTAAAGGGAACATTCATTATTATCGACAATTTCTTTTCGATATATCGTTATTTATAATCCAGTAACCTAACGCATTTTACCTTGCATGAAATGGGGTAGTAGGTTTCTTTTTTTTATGTTGTTTGTAATAGAAGTAATAGTTTGAATAGTTTAATAGTTTGTAATAGTATTTTGTTTTATATATAGTTTTAAATATGTTGTATTTTAGCTATATAGCATGAAAGTATGGGATTTTTAGTTATATGTGACTCTATTCTGATGCTGCAATGTATTCATACGAATAAAGTTTATTTTGACTTTGACTTTGACTTTGAATAGTACCGAGATGCTAAATCCAAATTTTCGACCTTGGCGACCTTCCGGATCACCTCCAAAAACCTTAAAAATCGGCGGAATTTCGCACTATTTTTACCTTTGTCCGATTTTGACTCTGAAGCATCATTTTTTCATATAGAACAACCATAACAAATTTTAAAGTACCCTACATTAAATTGCCTATCATTTAAGACCAAAATGGTTATTACTGGCCTAATAGTTTTCAAGATATGACTCCGCAAACAACGGCTAAAATTACAAAGTTTTGAATTTTTTTAAGTTTGGCAAACGTTAACTGTTGCGTTAACCCGTAAGCATAACTTTCTAATTATTTTTCATTAAAACAACCATAATTAATTTAAAACTACATTAAATTACTCACAATTTAAGACCAAAATGGTGATTATAGGCCTAACACATTGAGAGATATGCCACTTCAACGTTCATAAAATCTTCACCTAAATGCTTGTATTTTAAGTTTCAAGCTATTCAATTTTGTCAAGTTTTATAAAAGAACCATAACAAGAAATAAACAAATTTATTTCATCTCAAGAATAGATTGTGTTATAAACACTTTTTTTAAATGGAAATAAAACTTTTGTATATATCTACATAAACACACACGTACATTGTTACAATAAATGGTTCTCGGGGATAGAACACAGGCCTGTGACGAACGGTATTTATTTAATTGTATCGCCGCGGGAGCAGGGCGACTGGGTCTGTGATTAGATAGATGATCCTTGTACCTTTGGATATGGACTCGTCCTGTAGGGGTATCAGTTGAAGATTGACATGTATGACTAACTTGAGACATTTGGATGTATGAACTATAATTTAGTTTTTCATTCAATTGAGACAAGGATAATGGTGAAAATCCATGTGTGAAGAAGTGCTTTAATTCTTCATCCGACTACTTCAGAACGCATAGCCTGTGAAACAGTGTGAGGGGGTCAATAGTCACCTTTGTATTGCCAACAGTCACAGTATTAACATCAGAAGAAAGAGATACTACTTTATTATTCCTTTTGTATCTGACTTATTCACATTTTTCTCATAAAACTCTCAACATCGCTTCATTGCCAATATCTCTAGCCATATGACAGTTGACAGTTTCCTTCCAACAATTCCACTGCTTGAGAACATTATAACATCAGTATTAGAGAATGGAGGGTGACAAAGTAACCAGTCACACAGCTTCGCTCTACTCGCTTCAACTTGAGTGACTCGTGAGGGTCTAATTTCTACATGCTACTCAGTTGTATGTGCCTTAACATTCCAGTAGGCCTACTCGTCAACCTCAGCACTTAAATTCTACAGATAAATTTTAATTATATCATTCTTGCTTGGGTGAGCACGGTGTCAGCTATACCACGGTCCCGAGTCAAACCTATATAGCTTTTCATTAGGCAAATGAGCACCTGCTCTATAGTCATGTCCGTCCAAACACCCGTCTAGAACTTTTCAGAACGCACAATGGTGAAGAACCCGTTGGTGGTAAATAGCTGGTGTTTATTGAAATCCATCTTGTTTCCTAATTTCAACATATCCTGCAGGTAAAGATGCGAACACTTGGCATAAAAGAAGTAATATATAGCATGACAGAACGACAGCAAAGTTAAAACTTGTTTTCACTGTTGCCTCTTCATTCTTTATATTAATTCCTCTTGATAGTATAAACATTTTAATTACAACAGATTCCTTCCATAAAAAAAGAAGAAAAAAAAACTCATAATATGGTGATGAAATGAAATAAATTTGTTTATATTCAAATACAAACATTTATGGAAGATTTTATGAACCTTGAAGTGGCATATCTCTCAATGTGTTAGGCCTATAATCACCATTTTGGTCTTAAATTGTGAGTAATTTAATGTAGTTTTAAATTAATTATGGTTGTTTTAATGAAAAATAATTAGAAAGTTATGCTTACGGGTTAACGCAACAGTTAACGTTTGCCAAACTTAAAAAAATTCAAAACTTTGTAATTTTAGCCGTCGTTTGCGGAGTCATATCTTGAAAACTATTAGGCCAGTAATAACCATTTAGGTCTTAAATGATAGGCAATTTAATGTACTTTAAAATTTGTTATGGTTGTTCTATATGAAAAAATGATGCTTCAGGGTCAAAATCGGACAAAGGTAAAAATAGTGCAAAATTCCGCCGATTTTTAAGCTTTTTGGAGGTGATCCGGAAGGTCGCCAAGGTCGAAAATTTGGATTTAGCATCTCGGTACTACAAACAACATAAAAAAAAGAATCCTACTACCCCATTTCATGCAAGGTAGACTCTGATTTTTATAACAAGGTTACTGGATTATTATTTATCCAATATATTGATATTAACGAATTGAAACATATCAGCTGAGCTGACAACTACGATAAGAATAATTAAAAATTGTTCAGTATCAACAAACAATTTAAAAATAATATAATATTGAAATGAAACTGTTCTAAACCAACCTAACCAACTAAACTTGCTGTAACATTTTAAAATTCTGTTTGACAGCCTATTTATTCTCCATATGCCTTTTCTGTTATCAAACAGAATTTTGAAACGGTAACTTAGCCTACAGCAAGTTTGGTTAGTTATGCTAGGTAAGTTTAGAATAGTTTCATTTCTCAATCCAATATATAGGCTATTATGTTTGCCTAAACAAGGTTAGTTCTTAATTTGGAATTTAAATGTGTTTGAAGTTTCAAGATATTAAAACAGAAGGAATATGGATTGTAAAAAGGAGAACAAAAATATCGAAATAAGAAAAAGAAATCATCTATAATAATGAATGTTCCCTTTAACAGGAAAGTACCCGTTTTTTGTATGGTTATTGGTTACAAAGAAAATTAAAAAATATATATCAAATTTGAAAATCTCATATTATTCTTATTCTTATAGAGAATAAGTGAACTGTTAAAATTCGCTTAGTCAGCAGGTTTGCTGCGGCGGGGGTATTTATTGTTAGTTCTATCTGGTGCACTGTAGAGGTTGTGTTTTGTTTACAATTTGTTTCTTTTTATTTCCGTAATTTAAAACCTCATTTAACCAAATAAAACAATCTAATCATAAATAATAACTAGTCTTAGTATATGAACTTGTTTTATTTTCTTTTGTTGTTGACAATACTGGAGCTGTCTACGTTCAGAATTGACTTTTTTTACATATTATTATAATTACAAGTCAAAAAGATGGGTTTTGAAATAAGTAACTGGTAAATATAATTCCAAATAACTAGAAACCTGAGAAATTAAATAAAGAAAACAAAATCATGATGGATTTGCTTCTAGATTGTTTGAGTTAATTATATAATACAGTCTAACCTTGATATAACGAACCTCGATTTAACGAATTCCTTGATATAACGAATTTTTTTTAAAATCCCCTAGAACTCTCCATAATACACAATGTATATTTTACCTCTACATAACGAACAAACTGTAACAACGACCTTGATTTAACGGATTTTTCACGGTCCCGGCTAAAATAAGACACCTCAATATAACGAATTTATCATTGTCAGAACCTCTACATAGCGAATTTAACCTCTACTTAACGAATTGTCTACGTTTCTCCCTCGATACAACGAACCCCCCCCCCCCACCATTATTGTTTTTGAAAAATCAGTTTCTTTATCAAATGAAATGGAAAGGTGACGTCAATGATTGCGCTAACATTCGTCTGCTCCGTTTTACACATCCCTGTCTGCTATCGTCGCTGCGCGCTTTTTTACAGCTGAGGACTGATGACGACGTAATTTTTAGTAAAATGTGATTGGGTGATAAGTAAATATGGTGAATTGTACAATTTTTGGATGAAGAGAAACCTAAGAAAGAAAAAGAATAGAAGAACAAAGCAAACAGAAAGAATAGCAACATTGTTATCTTAACATTCCTTTTACAAGTGTTTTTATTATATTTAAGTTGGCTATAATTATAGACTTTTATAACGACTTATCTAATATTTTTATTATTTTAAATACGATTTTTTGAAACTAAGGCAACATCAATGCTACAGTTGATGATTATTACAGTATTGACATTCCTCTGTTGTGATTTAATAAATCAGTACTGTATTGTAAGTAGCCTACCGGCATATCACGAGCAGTAGCTTACAAAACTCTTACTGTTTTGTTTTGTTCTTTGTGGTTTATTGCTATACAATACCGTGTTTGGCTAGGTTTTAGGTGGGTTAGAGTAAGCTGCGATTTTAAACTTACAGTTTGTAACCTGTACCAAAGTCAATGACTAGAAATGTCATGATTGCGCAATATTAAAGATCCCTTCCCTTTATTACCCCAGACAATCGACGTTCTACTTTACAATGTAAACACTGTACACTGTAAAGTATTGTAGCCTATGCTACTTAATTTTGTTTTAATAAGGTCCAATCCCGACCTATATTGACTGATCCTGGTTCTGAACCTTGACTTAGCGAAATTCCTGCAAACCTAACCTCAATATAACGAACCTCGTTTTAACGAAATCCTTGATATAACGAATATTCAGTTTGGTCCCTTCAGATTCGTTATACCGAGGTTGGACTGTATTTATATCACCTGGTTACTGTCAAAACGATTCCATAGTCATTCAAACCAAATGGGATCATTTTGACAATCACCAAGTCACTTAAACCTTTAATAAAGAAAAAAATGCCAATAATAATATTTATAGTAATGTCAGATTGTAACAACTTAAGGAAATTCAAATCAAACTATCATAAAGTAAAAAGTAAAGACAGTTGTTGACATTATAGATTTGTGTTCTTTGTACACAACATACCAGACAGGCGCGCTGTAACTTCTGCACCTTTTTGGTCATCGTGGCCGAGAACAAGAAAGTCCGTCTCTCCCTGGGAATCACCTTCAGTATTTTGTCAACCTCCACTTCAAAGTCCATGTTGAGTATACGGTCAGCTTCGTCCATGATCTTCACAAACACAATAGATCAAATATTGTCAACAAACATTAGGTCAAACAACGCCAGTTGTTAATGATATGTAGTGTGTTATACCATTGACTAATTCATAGATACTCCAAAACTTGCCTGGAAGTTTGGTTCTATTTGGAGGTTATTACCTGAGAGTGTGTTAAAAAGGGCATATCCAAAGTGCGCCACTCCACAGGTACAATCTGTGTTTCTGGGTCATAAAATGTCACCTAATCCCACTCCACTAGTACGCCATCTCCAGTCAGGCGTGATTATTGTGTAATCAGACAAACATAATGGGCTTACTCGGCTCTGTATGTTTTAAAAGAATACTACAAGAATACTAAAAGAAGTCGCTGCAATCAACACGGTGATTGTACGTAGTAGCCGGTTGTTGTAGGCCCTGTTTCATAAAGATACTAGTCTAGTAAATACTAGTCCCGTATTTACCTGTCCTACTAATTTGTGTTTCATAAACGTTTTTATACCGCTAGTAAATACTAGTGTATTAGTACTATTAGACTAGTATTTTTGGTCACGTGACCAACTTTACAAGTGAACTGTCAACACTAATTTCTAACCTCAATCACGGGTTTTCTGGCGCTTTATAAAGGGTTTAAATTTTGTTTTCATTTGATACAAAAAGTAAATAGTTGTAGAAACGTGCAGTGTTTTCTTTTAATTAATAACTATATAGACACATAAGTAAAACAATCACATATTATTTATCAAAACGCTATTATTTATGTTCATCAATGAGCCCGCCGACGCGCCGGCGCGGCACGGCGTTGCGTCGCTGCAATCAACACGGTGATTGTACGTAGTAGCACAGAAAACATATAATGCCAACCGCATGGTAAAAAGCATTAAGTGTTTTGAGAGAGCTTTGCCTGTCAATCGTAGGCAGCGCCACCAGCGTTGCCATGCACTCAGCATAGCAACGCTGGTGGCGCTGCCTACGATTGACAGGCAAAGCTCTCTCAAAACACTTAATGCTTTTTACCATGCGGTTGGCATTCTGGGTTATAGTAATATGATGTTTTCTGTGGTAGTAGCTGGTTGTAGGCCTAGTTGCGGCGCTCAACAGTTGGGTGGAAATTGATCTGTTGCTGCCGCATTCGCCGTGATTTGTAAAGTTTTTGTTTTATTCTGACATATAAAATTAAGCTTGCTATGAGTAAAGAAAAGAAGGCTCAAATTTTGAATGTATCGTCTAAGGACATTTTGTTAGGGACATTTTCAAGTACCCTAACCTATGTTTTCAAATATTCAAATGCATAAGAATATTTGGGTTAAAAACCATTCTGTGATATTCTAATTTTGAGTCTACAAACCATGAATAATAAGCCTAAACATTTATTGATGTAACAAATAATTGCAACGCCGTTACACGCAATGGAGAAGTAGGTTTTCAAGTATAGTAAAACATGGCATATGCGCTATTGCAGGGCGTAGCTCAGAGGTAGAGTTTTCGTTTCTCATGTGGTGGGTCTCTGGTTCAAATCTGCACCACTCACTATACCTTAGTTCCGTTAATTAAACTTTTACATGTTTTACATTAAAATAACAGCTCTAATCAACATCTAATTTTTTTATTACTTTGAATAACAAATTCAGAATACCAAAATGGATTAAAAGTAATGTTTTTATGGTAAGCAGTTCAGTCCAACGCCCAAAAATTAAATATAGGCCTACAAAATTGTTAGTACATCACAGGGTTTTAGCTATTTAGGGAAACAAATAATAAGCACCTAAAAAAATAAAAAATACAATGCAACTCCTCTTTAAAATTGGCTTACTATTATTTCCTATTAAAATGTCTTTAAACAAAACCGAGAGCCTTGGTTGTAAAATAATCTGATTAATGTTGCAATGTTAAGATACATTTTTGTACATCTTTGTATGCAATACGGTATGCGGTTTTAATTTGGTTTCTCTCAAAGCTTAAAAATCTTTTCTCTGTGATAGCTAAATAGTTGATATAACCATAAAATTTAACTCAAATAAAATTAGACTAAAATTTTGCAAAAATTGATAACTTGTAATTATAATTAATTCTAATAGATTGTACACACATTGTAAAATTCAATTTACTCATTTTGTACTACGCCACATTTATTGATTGTAATTTATATCTAATAATAATTATCATTTTGGCACTCACAGATCTATTAGCGAATTTCCCTATAGGGAAGTAGCTATTACCGTAGGTCTCATGGTAAGACCTAAGCCCGGGACCGATTTACTTTTTCATTTTGATGTCCCCAGAGGCCAAAAACACCATTCGTTCAAATTTTTATATATCTATATATAGATATATGTATATATATATATATATATATATGTGTGTGTCCATCCGCACGATAACTTGAGTAATTTTTGTCCGATTTTGATAAAATTTGGTTTGAAGGTGTAAGGCGGGATAAACTTGAATGAGTTCGCGAACCAGCATGATCGGACTATGGGAACGGGGGTTTATGGGGGGTTTTATGGGGTAAAAATAGGTTTTTCCCATTTTTGCCGCTAAAAACACAAAATTTCACAATTTATTTTTAAACCACTTTGTAGAGCTTAAAAAAACAAATAATTTAGTATATTGAAGTGTTATTATGCGCCTAATTGTTACGGAGAAAATTCAAAAAAATTGTAATTTTAAAATTCCCATGTTATTCTTATGGAGAATAAGTCAACTGTTGTAGTTTGCTTGTTTATGAACATATTTTGATCGATTTTGAAAATACTTTTATTTCTTACTAAACTATTATCATTTTATAAAAAAATCTTTTTTACCCTCCCTGTTGCAGCAAACCTAAGGTACTTGTTAAACTAATTCTATTTAAATAGAAAATAAATGTGCTATTTTTATGGAGGCATTTTAGTGTAAATCCAATCAGGTCAATGGAAATTCGCTTAGTCTGCAGGTTTGCTGCGGCGGGGGTATTTTTTATCTTAAATTGCAAAAGTGAGCCAATTCACACTTACAAAAAGAACTTAATAATTCATTTTTTTAAATGATGTGAGTAATGAAATAACTCTCTTTCCAAAAATACTAGTCTACTTCAAATAATACGGGTGTAGAGAGGTTGTTAGAAAATGGCAAGTATTTACCAGTGTAATTTACAAGAGTAAAACTTTATGAAACACATTGCTGTCTACACTAGTAAAAACCACTAGTAAAAGTTTTTGGTGAGTCGGTGGCTCAGTCGGTAGCGTCGCGGACTTCGGGCCCAAGGCAGAAGTGTCGTGGGTTCGGATCCTGGTCACTGCCACTAACTTTTATCAGTACAGTTCACCTTTGTACTGTACCGGCTCACCCCTTGCTTTGCTGGATACGTTCCACGCACAGATCTGTAGTCTATGTGGACAGGCAAATGCAGGGTTAAAAGAGGCCGCCAACCTCTTAAAAAAAAAAAGAAAAAAAAAACCACTAGTAATACTAGTCCTTACACTAATAACTAGTATTTTACACTAGTAGGTTTTTGAAACGTAGACTTGTAAAATACACTAGTATTACTAGTCCATGGACTAGTCAATACTAGACTAGTAGTTTTATGAAACAGGCCCCTGCTGTACCGTACCAGTCCAAACCTGCAGACCAAGCGATTTTGTATTTACCTGGACAGATTTCCACTAAAATATAACAATTTTCAGACTTATTTTGAATTTAAATAACATTAATTTTCATGAGTCCTTATGTTTGCTGCTACAGTACAGGAAAGGTGGAGATAGCTTAGTATTAAATAAACCAAATTACCAAAATTGATTGAAATTTAATGCGTTTAATGCCTTATAACTTTTTATTTTTGAAGAACTAACAACAATATTAGAGAACTATCGAGAACTAACGAACAACTAACGATTGTTGTATATAGCCTTTTTCATCAGAAAACGGTGCGAGCTGGAAATGCCTTATTGAAGTTAGCGTTTTAACCACTTTTTATTTCTCATAATGTTTTTATTTTTGGTGAATAAGCAACAATATTGGAGAACTATCGAGAATTAACAAAGAACGAACGTTTGGTATATAGATGTAGGCATCATTCTCAAGTGTGAATTTAGTGTACCCTTTTATTATTGGCTATAACATTATTTATTTTTTGAGAACTAACGATAATATTGGGGAACTATTGAGAACTGACGAAGAACTAACTATTGGTATGAAAAAAGTGGATACGCTTCTATAGTAACACCAACTTAAGATATTTGCAAAATAAAGAGATTTTATAATATACATGTGTTCAAATTTCAGAGCACTAATGTTTACAATCATTTGGCTTTGCTATACAAATTTCTAATCACAACTTTGAATTACTACAACATACACGTCTCTTGGAATCTGTCGGTTATGTCATGATTTTGTTTTAAATAGGTACATAATACAATTCCTCGTTTTAGGCTGATGTACCGCAGTTGATATGTGGTGCTAAGTTTTGAGGCAGCAGTAAATCCATAATTCGTTTGAATTTAATCTCTCCTATATTTTTAAGTACAAACCTACCCTCACATTTGTCAGTATCTCTCTAGTAACCATCAAAACAGTGCGGGAGTGTTTATAGTGTCAGTTTTGTTATGGAGAAACGTTTGTTACGTGGATTTACAATTTTAATTAAGAACGGTTTTACCTTCCATCTCATGACGAAACTTAAACAACACATGAAGAACGGTGGCGTTGCTCGGTAAAGTCGTATCACAATATTAGTCACACGATATTACAAATACAAATTTATGCCAGGAACCAAGCTTTATTTATGCCAACCAACACCAGGAATGTCCACCAGCTTAGGGGCTACACACATGGATTTAAACCATGACGGTGGTGTGTAATTAATAACAAACTATGCAGTGTTAAAGTGATTGCCTACTTATTGGATTTACATGTTCTAGTAAGTACTAGTAAGTAGTAAGTGTAGAAAGTTTCTGCCTGAGTGGTTCTAGAGTTGAATAGGTGGCGCAAGTGTGGAGTGGGATTAAGGGGTGGCTCTAAAGCTTGTGGCGCACTAGTGGAGTGTTTGGAACGACACAGGTAGAATGGCGCAAGTGTGGAGAGCCCGTTAAAAAAAGTTCAGGAACGGTTTTAAATAAAAAAAATAATAAAGTTATAGAGCCACCAAATTTAGAACAAAGTTACAACACAAAAGTCATGAAAACCATTTCAAAATATTATTCAGTGATGCGATACCTCCTCAAGGGGACACTTGGAGTCAGAAGAAAATCTTAAATATAAGCATATGTTGATAGTCACACCAAATTAAATTCCTTTGTTAGGAAAACACAATGCCACAAACCCAAACTCAAACAGACAATTGAGTCAAAAATGGCAGCCATTCAAAGATTCATTGAATTTGCTATGCAAATGCGCTAACTTCTCAGAGGGGCGCCAAGAGTGGGAAGAAAATCATAAATTTATTGTTAGCATAGGTCGATTTGATATTTAGATCAAAGGTCTTGTGACGCAAAATTCTAGTGGGGGAATAAACTAGTATTCACCAAGTCAGGCTAGGCCTACCCCTAGAACCAGCCACACTCAAATTTCTTCCCCGGAGTGCTCAGAAGGAGCCGAGAAAAATCCAGGGGTCGATACGAAGTTGTCACGGCTTTGACTGATCAATTTATTTAGATTTTAGCGAAGGCTCAGAGCCTAGAAGCGCTCAGGAAATCCTGCAGACGCTCAGTAGGAGCTATTTCATCCTCACCTTCGCTAACGTGTTTTGGAGAATTTTGCCTAACTTTTATACTGACTCTGTAGGACTGACGAGTATTCAATCTTAGCCAATGTGATTTAAATACTCGTAATAAACTGTGAACTATCTGGCTAAAGTCGTTGGTAAATAATATAAAATCGAATATAAGGTAAAAGTAATTCCTACAGAGTCGTCGGGCCTAATTAATATAATTGAACGGAGAATTTATCGTGGGATGATTTAAAATAGATTTAACATTAATATTCGTAGCTGTTTGATTGTTCAAATCAGCTGCTCCCAAGACTTGATTCTTTCACCCGCCAAAGACGGGGTTTAGAACTAAGACGACCAGTCTCGGGGTATTAAAACGGTGAAAACGAGATATAATTTAGACGCGATAATTCTTTGTTAAGCGAACGGAGAAATAGTAATTTCGAAACTAATTAATTAAAATAAAATAAACGATCGCCACCGCTAGTCACTGGCAGGCAGGAACTGGCGGGTCAAGACTCGAGTTGAGATATTAAATTAAGATAATTCGTAATGGAATTTTAAGAAAACGAAAAGGTATAATAAGTAAAGTATGCGTAAGATAAAACCTTCGTAATAATATCTATCGTAGTGTCGTTGTCGTATTCGTGACTCGTGCGAGCTAGTCGGTGGTCAAACAGCGAATAAACTTGTCCGGCTCAAATCATGATTTCCTCGTTCGAGGCTTAATCGCTCTGGTGGTGAGTTTGAGAACTAGCCAACAGCTGATCGGAAATTCACCTGTTGAGCCGGTCGGTCTAGTTGTCGTCTGTCGTTGGTCAACAAACACCATTTCGAGGTTAAGTGATGTTGTCATCGGCGTTAAATATTCGTAAAATCGGTCGTTTTAACTTTATTATGTGAAACGAAGTGCTATCATGAATAAATATATCGTTGTGGGTGTGTTTGTGTACTTCACTGTTATTAAAAGTAGGCCTACGTTCTTTGGCCCATAGCCCAAGCTATGGCCAACACATAGACCTAGGAGTAGGATGTTGTGGATAAAAATCGGGTAAGTTATAGTGTTTGTTGACTAGCAATACGTTTTTACCCCCTTTAAAATTTGGTACCTCACAGTCTTTAGTGGTAGACCATTAAAGAATGACAATGACAGCACACTGCACTCCAATACTTGAACCTACAGAATCACGAACAATAAGAGCTCAGAAATAACTTTATGATGTCACTTTAAAGTTATATCCAGTCTATACCAAGAGTGAGCACCAAGTACAATGGTGCTAGGGGCAGATTACACTTACAGAATATTTGCTTTCTAGCTGAACCATTGCCTTCCCCCAAAGTACCAGTTCAAAGATTTAAAATTGCAAATTCAAGAAATCTTTTAGCAGTTGCCATGTTTGTTCTGGTTTTTCTTTTGAGCTCAAATTTGCGGCATTCAATTTTACTGCACTTATGAGATAACAAAACCTCAGTTCCTAAATAATGTGGATTTTTATCTCATATCTTAGGTAGGTATACCAATTTATACTGCTTTTGCTTTATATGAAATGGTTAAAGATATGATAAACCGTTTAGGAACTTTTCTAACACACTGTATACAAGAACTAATACACTGCTTGGTAACCAGTTTGCAATACATCTACTGGCATCAACCGTGACTAATTTCAAGCAACAATACAGTAAATCCATTAAGTTTAATCCAGTAGCGATAATTAGCTAGTGCAGAACATGTAGCATGATCTACAAGTTCCAGACTGCGGTGCATACCGTTTTGTACATTCCACGTAGCAGGTTTGTAAGCTAATTTAAAAGAATAATTTGTTTAATTAGCTTACCTGCTATGTGGAATGTATAACACGATATGCATGGTTATGACAAACTAACTATTGCTACTACGAAACAGGATTTCATTATTACTATGAATAGGCTAAATTAGTTTTAGAACCATATCGAGATATTTGTTACTGATGACATCAATACTATAAAAACAGTCTACAATTAGTTTTTTGGTATTCAAAAACGATCATTTTTGTTCAAATTACAAGTTTAACATCGCAATTTTTTTTTTTGATATATAGAACATTACGGATCTTAATAATAAATATCCAGAAAACCCAACAATCAGGCAAAACTTATCAATTCTCGATACCGAAACAATTTTTTTATAGTTTTAGCAAATTTTCTGGTTGGATTGGTTACCTACTAATAGTCTATGCTACCTTTGACTATTAATACAACAACCATAGTCTATGCTACTACACAAATCTTGTCTTAATGTCCTTCTATATAAGTATTTTTGAGGTAATTTGTTAGAATTTTTAGGTGGTGTTTTTCAGTAGGGAAAAAATATATACAGTAATGAAACATTCTAACTAGCCTATTTAAGAGACCTTGGAGCTTGGAGCCTAGCTGTGCTACCTCATAAAACAATAACAAAACTACAAAGAAAATTTCTAATATCATAGTGCGTAGTATACTTAAATTACAATTACTTTGGTAGGCCTATATAAAAAAAATATTTCTGGTTGATAAACAAGTCTTTAGCAGCTGTTTTAAATCAATCCAATATGGCAGCTACCCTCCAAAGACTTCTACGTTTAAACTCTTCTTAACACATTAAATCACTAACATATTTTTTTTTTTAGGGAGAGGAGGGAAAATGCTTTTACGCACACAGGTAGCCAGCCTGTAGTGTGAGACTCCTGAAAATTATCAGACTACTGACTAAAAAACCCCCTCTACTCTGTTTTGGACACAGACCTGGAATTGTTTGTCACATTACTTCAAGTCAGGCTAACATGTGACCTAAGCCCTCAGGGCTCGCACCGTTTCTGGCATTTAGATTCTTAATGACCTACACCGCATCCCGGTCAAGGTCGATCTTCTTAGCGCGGAGAATACCCTGGATATAATGTGACACACAGGTCCAATTGTCCTCACCCTCCGTCATAATCGGTATGACCGTGTCCACCGACAGCAGTCCTACTAACTGTTGAGCCTCCAGGCGGGGCCTTTCCCAGCACTGGCAGTGGAAAAATGTATGTTCCACGTCATCGATAATGCCTGGGCAGTATATGCAGTCGGGTGACACGGGGTCTTAACACATTAAATCACTAACATATTAAAGGTAAATGAAGATCTAACAGCAAAAATCCAAAAGGAAATGTTATTATAAACTAGAGGTGTGCCAGCCTGATATTTCCAGTCAAACCAAACTCGAGGTAATATAGTGATCATCTCCTGTGGTCATGGAGATATCGTCGTCGTCTTCTGGGATCGCTGCAAAATCTGAAATATCTTTCTCAATTACAGAAACAACATCACTGTCTTTTGCAGTCACGACAAAATCATGAATATCTCCTGCAGGGCTCATGGAAACGTCATCGTCGTCGTCTGCAATGGCGGAAAAATCATGAACATCTCCCGTGGCCGTATGGACGTCATCATCATTTACTACGTTCACAGGAAACGTCATCATTGTCTTGCACGGGCATGATGGGTATTGGTAACAGAATCAACTTTTGACAATCAATTCTTGATACTGATACCAATGTCCAAGTATAAGTGGTATCGAGAATCGACACATCCCTAGTTATGAAATAGCTTGCTAGAGTAAAGGTTGTGCTTTGATTCTGCCAAACTGCACCAATAAACATGTTTTTAACAAACTCATTAAAAAGCTTTACTCTTTGAGAATCCTCGAAAAGCTCGAGTTGAGCCGAGTACTGAAATACTCCCTAAAAAGTACCCGACCACTTGAGCACTTGCACACCCCTGAATTAAATGCAAGTTAGCTTATTTGAGCTAGAATAAATAATGAAATACGGATGTTTAAAATTTTAAAACTAAAACATTCACTAAAAGACCTTTATAACAAGAAGTGGTTTAGTAGCAAGACAAGGATTTGGACCATAACACGCAATGTACACTAAACTTATGACAAGTAAGCTTTATGAATGAGAATAGGCTCATTTATAATTGAATATATGACAATTTAAACTATTCAAATACATCTTTGTCCAGGACCACTGCAATTAAGAAAATAAACTTACTTAAACTTACTAAAACTTATAAAGCCAATATTTGATTTTATCTGTCATGTATGTTTGTTGTATCCTAGATAGGCCTAGTTCTTTTATAGGCCTGTTCTTTTATTTTTTCTTAAATACTTTTATGGCCTGGAGTACTTCATCTTACAAAATTGTCAATAACATCTGTATTACTACAACAAATCAAGATTTGATACTATTATTATTATACAAGAACATACCAAGTACTTGAGAGCCTTGAGGTTGAACCCTTTGGTGTTGGTAAGATGGTCGACCAGTCGGCCAGGAGTTGCTATGATGATGTGAGGTTTCTTGGCAAGAGTAAGTGATTGAGACATCATGTCCATTCCACCTACGATGACAGCACACTGCACTCCGATACTTGAACCTACAGAATCACGAACAATAAGAGCTCAGAAATATCTTTATGATGTCACTTTAAAGTTATCCAGTCTGTACCAACAGTGAGCATCAAGTACAATGGTGCTAGGGACAGATTACACTTACAGAATGTTTGCTTTCTCGCTGAACCATTGCCTTCCACCAAAGCATGTTTAAAGATACTTTTAGGAAATCTTAAAACTGTTATTAAAATTTTATACTGGTAGGACAATGTTTCCACGAGATAGGTCCAAAGTAGTAAAACTATAGTTCAATCTTACCCAAAGCTTCAAACTGCTCTGATATTTGATACGCCAATTCTCTGGTTGGGGTGAGGACGAGGGCAAAATATCTCTGCGGAGTTTCAAGCAGTGCCTGCAAGATTGGGATGGCGAAAGCAGCTGTCTTTCCAGACCCAGTCTCCGCAAGTCCAATAACATCTTTGCCTGTGTTGGAAGTATTTTCAAAGCGACAAATCAGTATCAGTATTAGTATGAAGTATCACTTAATATTACATATGTTATTTGCTATCTTATTTCAATGTATTATTCTACGAGAACTTTTGTCATAAATTACACTATCACTAAGTTGGAGAAGGAAACGTAATTGAACAAAGGATTTAAGTTTAATGAGAGTTTATATATCCCTTTGAGCCCAGAGATTTATCATTGATTTCATGATGCCTATTTTTATCATGTTCTCATAGCTCTTCTTTTTTTAAACCCCTATTTTTATGAAACAAGTTTTTTGTAACTCATAAGAGCAAATAAAAAGTTGTAAAATGCCTCATCTGAGATGCAGCTATCCTATCAGCTTCCACACAAGTAGTCTACCACTCACTTGATCACTTTTCATTAAATGACAGTCACTTACTTTGTGTACAATTTAAGCTTGATATGACTGCAGGATGAGCGTGAAATTGAGTGAATCTGTCTGGCTTAGTTATTGACTTATATTAGCTAATTATTTTTCCTAGATCAGAGTGGTTATTAAAATCTAAATGGCCAAGTAACTTGCAGATCTATTAACAAGCAATATAAATCTGTATGAAGATTTGTTGCATCAATAAATCAATAAAACTTAAGTTTAAGTAGGCTAATCATGTTTTTACCTTTGAGTGCTAGGGGTATAGATTCTTTTTGAATTTTAGATGGATTTTTCCAGCCAAGAGCTTCACATGCTTCACAAAGAACATCGACGACTCCCTGAAATAAAGTACAGTTTTGCTTAACATGTTGGTTCTATACAATTTAGATATGTTAGGTTAACTTGGTTATAAATAAAGTGTATCTTCAACACTAATATGTGCACCAATACATAGCTGCAATAATAGGTGATGTTTGTGTGTCGGTTTGTAAGCTTGAGGTCAGATCTGAATCATCTGTATTACTTGTAAAAATCTCTAGTTTTAAGTTTGACCTTGTTAATTACAGCATTTTAAGTTCAGCCCTCCACTCACAAGGTTATGCCCCCTCACATAATAATCAGGCTAATCTTGGGACATTGCAATAACACCAATCATCTGATACTTGATATCGATACCCTATTATTAATTTTATTGGTTCTAAGGCAAGAATAACTTAAAATATTATAACTTAAAATATTACTCATTCAATAATATTTCATGACTGCCATAGCCTAGATCGTTTACTCTTGAATTGTTTAAAGGACTGAAGTATTACCTACCCTTATATACAATTTAAAATAAAAACATCACCAATATTTAATGATTTTATTATTTTAGTGAATTTACCAATAGGGAAGTAGCTATTACCGTAGGACTCATGGTAAGACTTGAGCCCGGGACCAATTTACTTTTTCATTTTGATGTCCCCAGAGGCCAAAAACACTATTTGTTCAAATTTTTATATATGTATATATATGTACAAAAATTGATTAAACAGCCACTAGAGGACCCATGCTGCTCCGCAGCGTTAAAATAAAAATAATATCCGAGAAATAAACAAACTCATAATTTTTTATTGAGTAATACAGTATCTTGAGCTTAACTGATTCAAACGATCAATATCTCAAGTTAAAGCCTATAATTTACTGATTATTTTGAGTCTAAAACATATAAAAAACCCCTGAACAATACTGGAGCTATTGATTTTTAATCATAGAAAACCCTTATGAAAAATAATATTAATTTTTGTTGTTCACCTTGCGTTTGCTTGAAACTCGTCCGATTTGAAAAACTAGCTTAAATGAAAGTCGGTATTTCACTGAAGGATCTTAGACCAAAATATATAAGATTTCATCTACATCGTGTTCAGGCGTAAGGGAAGAATTCCAATAGACTCCAAGGTCTTTAATGACGTGGCACCGGCTCAGAGGAGTACCATCCAACCGATAATCCATATGTACAATAGTTTCACGTCTTGTAAAGGATATTACATTGCATTTAGAGAAATTGAGATACATCAAATTCTGCTTGCACCAAGACTCAATGCCAGCGAGAGTTCTCTGCAGAGATTCACCATCACTAACATTTCTGATCGTTTTAAATAATTTTATATCATCGGCAAATAACAGTTATTCGGACTCAATTAGGTCCCCTATATCATTTATAAAAATGTTAAACAGACAAGGCCCCAAGAGAGATCCCTGGGGAACCCCTGACAAAACTGTCATGGGTAGAGACTCAGCATTTGCAAATCTGACTATCGAGTGTCTATTCCTCAGGTAATTGTCAATCCACAATAAAAGTTTACCAACAATAGTAATTGGTAATTTACCAGTAATTAGTCCACCAGTCCATCTATATCTCCATAATGTGACAAAATTCCTATTATAGAAATCATTATTGACTACAGAATCACTTTAAATGTTTCTACAACAATGTTATCATGTTTAATCAGCGATGTTATTCTTCTCATCAACCAGGTTACTCTCTTCACTTAACCTGAACTTGTAACGGCGTAGCATACTAGCACTACGCAGCATGTATGAGTATGAGTATTTTTTTTTTAGTTCTATTTGTAGTGAAGTAAAATGACGTCACTAGCATAATGCAGATGATAGAATCAGAGTGAGTTAATAAAGTTCAAAAGTTGTTAAATCCAGTTGCTTGTCGTGTGGTTGAAAACAGTCAGCTGTAGGCTTAGGCCTAGTTACCCACAGTTCATTCCACTTGTAAATGTTATCCATCTTACATTGTTTATTGTAATGTTGTATATTTTTACAGCAATATCTTGAGAAATATTCATCAGCGGTGAAAAATAATGGTACATTTGGATTCGGGAGGTAAAAAACTATAGGGTAAGATATCATTAAAAATTCTTTGGAGACACCTATACGGAATAAATAGGCCTACCCCAAATTTAACTCCCATAAGAAATACATGGGGAGCAAATGTCGCTTAAGTATAAGCCAAGTGGGATTATAGATAAATATATGCCGATGCTTGATGGCAAATCTGTGCGTTCCTACCTTCAATTTGAGACCTCAATCATGAAAATAGGTCGGGTAGAAGAGCCAAACGAACTTGGAAAAGAAAAACCATTTTTTTTAATAGGCCTAAACCTACATAAGATAATTTTAATTGGTAGAATTTATATTTTAAATAAACTTCAAACGCATATCAGAGATATAGGCTAGTAAACAGTTCTTAATTCTTAATCTATAAGTTATAAATAAAATTAGAGTTTTGTCTGTAGGTAGATTGCTCAGAATCATAAATTTTTAGGTTATTTTTACGTTTTATAGGCTACATTAAAGAAGCCGAAAACAAGTCTCATCGCAATTTCTGTCTGTCTTCCGTCTATCACGGCCCAAGAGCCATTTTACGCGGCCTTCTCCTAAAAAACGAGAGTACATATCAAGATCCGAATCATTTTAGGCCCTAATGTATTCACTGGATTGGCGAGTATTTTTAGATATTAAAATATGGCCTCACTACTTTGTAAATAAACTTACAGACGTTTAAAACCCCAATTTTCTGCGATTTTCATCAAGTTTTCTCCCAATGTTTATAACATAATCATATTAAATAGCGAACAGCTGTTCGGATCAAGATTATTTTTCTCTAGCTAGCTGTCACTGATATGTTTACATTGAATGTTGTTTACAAATACTGCAATCATTTCCGACCACGTTTCAAAAGCAAATCCAAACCAAGTTGGATTCAAACCGTTTTTTCTTTACATAACGGATTTAATTAATCGCAAGTGCAATAATGTGTAGGGTAAACGTAAATGAAAATAGAGATTCTTTGTGTAGGTATAACATTTTTCTTGAGTTTTGATAACCGGGAAAAATACATTAAATCAGTGTTGTCAGTGTGTAAGCCTGGGAAACTTACATTTTTTTACATAAGCATTACCAGGTATTTATTCCATACAGGTGCCTCCAAACAAATTTTTAATTTTGATATCTTACTTTATAGTTTTTTACCTCCTGAATCCAAATGTACCATTAATTTTCACCGCTGATGAATATTTCTCAAGATATCGCCGTAAAAACATACCTAACATTACAATAAACAAGATAGGATGGATGACATTTACAAGTGGAATGAACTGTAGGTTTAGGTTAACGTGTTGCGTAGTGCTAGCTAAGTGCTATTCTGTCTGCTACGCCGTCGCCATCACAATTTCACAAGTTCAGATTAAGTTAAGTGAAGAGAGTAACATGGTTGATGAGAAGAATAACATCGTTGACTAAAGATAATAACATCGTTGTAGACACGGCCGCCTTTTAGCTTTGTAGAAACATATCAAGTGATTCTATAGTCAATAACTTAATGTTTACTACAATAGGAATTTCGTCACATTATGGAGATATAGATGGAATAATGGACTAATTAACTTACTCGTAGTTCTTATTTAGGCATGTCAGGGTGGTAGGTCGTGCTATATGTGAATTGGTGACTGCATTAAGTGTTTTGAAGTTAGGTTAGATTAGGAAGGTAAAGTTTAGGTTATAAATGTATCGAGTTGTTAGTTTATGTCGCCTGCAGACTGTTTTTGTAAAATTAAAATCCAGAAAAAAACACTTCAAATTACTATTTCAAAAATGCCTAAACTTTAACCCTTAGAGTGCCAGGCGAGAAATAAAAGTAACGCTAAAAAAATGCCGATGATTTTTCCCGAAGGTCGCGCTAAAAATGCCGAGCGCGATCTGGCGATTTTTAGGTAAAAATTTCGTAAAAATCGAATTTTCGATATTTCGACCAACGAAAATCGATGTATCGCATCTAGTAACTTTCGACTCAATGTTAATATATGGGTTAAAAGAATCCGAGTATCCATTCGGTTGTTATGACAACTGTTCGATCATTACGAAACGTCCGGTCAGCCGGACGTTGGCACTTTTGGCTCGTTCTAAAAACGTCCGGTCGGCCGGACGTCGGCACTTTTGGCTCTTTTTTAAAACGTCCGGTTCCCCGGACGTTGGCACTCAAAGGGTTAACTTACCTAATCTAACCTACCTTCAAAGGACTTAATGCAGTCACCAATTCACATAAAGCACGACCTATCACCCTGACATGCCTTTTCTGACATCAAAAGGAGTTTGCTTACACATTCTAGAGGTTTGGTTAGGTTAGGTTATGTTAGAATAGCACCATTTTAGTATGTAATTTCTAAACGGCGAAATATAAATCAATAAATCATTAATAAGGATAAAATACTGGAAACAATAATACATTATTAACTTATTGGTCTTAGAAAGTGAAAAGTGTAACTTAATCAGGTGATTTTCATATTGCAGAATCAGAGTTAGCTAATAAAGGTTGTCACTTCCATTTGCTTGACTATGATTGAAAACAATCAGCTGGTTGGTTTACTTAACCCATCGTACATTCCACTTGTAAATGTCATCCATCCTACCTTGTTTATTGCAATGTTAAGTATGTTTTTACGGCGATATCTTGAGAAATATTCATCAGCGGTGAAAATTAATGGTATATTTGGATTCAGGAGGTAAAAAACTATAAAGTAAGATATCAATATTAAAAATTCGTTTGGAGGCACCTGTACGGAATAATTACCCATTACCAATAGCTTACATAAAAGGTTTCAACTCATTGACGGTAGGCTACTTCAATGGTGGTTGTGTAAAGTGTTAAGTGACAACTGCAGTGGGTGATTGTAACAGAGGTTTACGGATTATCCTCAAATCGCTTTTCCAATGTGTCTTCTAAACGCTATTTTGTGCTGCTCGCTGGAACATGTACAGCCAATAGCCTAATTGCCCATCTCTTGGGTTCGTAGGCCTATAAACAATTATTCATAAGTTGGTAGCGCATATTACCATAGACAATAGAAAATTTCCAACCTGAATGTTTAATGGCGAGGTTGAGGTAAAGTATTTGAACTATATATCATTTGGTTTCAACTGACCACTATAAGATCCCCGTGCGTAGAACGGGCACATAGGCCTAGCTAGTTCTTATACTATAGGTACTCTAACTTCTTACCAATTCCTTGAACGTAAGCTGCTTTTCGGATGAATCTTCTATTTCACTATCGCTGGCTTTATTCACGTCATTTTGCTCACTATTCGTTATTTCATCCTCAGAAGAATCCATATTTTAAAATGATTATAATATATTATAACTTGACTAAATATCAATTAAATATTGGGTAAATGACTACTGACTTAGAATAGAAATAGGCCTATAGAGATAACTTAGGCTAGAATGAAATGAAAGATCCCTCTTTATTTATGTTATATTGTTGATTTGTTGTGTACACCCACGTCCTAACCTAACCCTGCCAGCACGTTGTCTTCTTCCTTCAGTGTATCAGTGTATCCGTAATCCGTTCAACCAACAACAGCACAACCGCAACAGCAGACAACAGCTAAACAGCTGGGAGCTGAGCGCTGAACGACAAGACACCTTCTTCTTCTTGTTCTTCTTTTTCTAGTTTGCTTTTAAAAAGCTGTCTTGGTTAAATTACCATGTAACCACACTATTTCACCTTAAAACACGACTGTCCTATACATTTTCCCAGCCTTTTTCGAAATGCTATCATGATGCTAATTAGGAAATGATTTTCGTTTTTCTAATAAATTGAGTTTACCGAGATTTATAATTTAAAGTTGGTGTGGTTAGATGTTTTTCAGTATGAATGTATTGTTTAATAATTATCTCAAAGTTGGATTTCTGTTTTTATTAAAAAAATTTGTAATTGTGGCCATAACTTGCTATATTTTCCATTACGAGCATGTGGACAGTTGGTGGTGATTTCCACGATTACTAGAAAAATACCGGTATGGATCATAAACACAAACAAATGACGTTTTTGGCCCGAAAATAAACATTATTCAACATGGAACTGCTAAAACATATGTTCAATGCTATTAGTATAGGATTCGGGCCAACAACGTCATTTGTTTATGTTTATGATCCATACCGGTATTTTTCTAGTAATCGTGGTGATTTCCAATTTAACAGATTTCTTCATTTTTGCGTAAAGGCATTGTCTCATCATATTGTAGGCAAGGCACTGTGTAATGATGTGCACTATTGTTTCACATGGTTCACAGTGAATAATCACGTTTAAACATTCACTTCACACCGAACTGTAACCAAAACTACACGATAGTTCAGTCAAATACGATGTTATGTAAGGTAAATCAATTCAACTACTGTAACAAACAATTTTTTGTCAAGTCTTGCTAGGAAACTCTTTATTTATGAATGAACCAGACATAGATCGCAGATGTTCAATATGGTAAATTTCACAACTAGTCACGAAACTGACCCATTTCGTTACGAGTATTGAACGATACTTTTTATCACGATGAAAAAACTACTTCATAAAACTTAAAAAGTTATCTGATATTTCGTAATCTATTCATTTTTCTAATCCAAACACCATACGGTTGAACAATTAATTTTTCCTACAGTTACCTAACAATGAACATGTTCTCTCACTGATTTGAGAAAGCAAAGTGGCCAATTCGCTCATCAGCGAGACAATGTTAACATTGTCTCAGTCTAATTATTTTGTCTCACTCCAGATTTGCAACGTGAAGGCACGAAATAGTGAGCGCGTAAACATGTAGGCAAGGTTGTATGCGCGCGAAATACGTTGGCAGCACTGGCTGTAAATCAGCTGGTCAGCTGTTGTACTGTAATGCTACTTTCACATTAAATGTCATATTAAAAGTTCACTTCTGTGTAAAAATATGTTACGTTTCTTTACCAATTTATTTGTTTTATGGTAACTGTAGGAAAAATATAATGTGCAGCTCGAGTGCAAAGTGCAATTGCTCACTAGTTGCACAAATAACTAACTATCTATGTAAAATTCAATATATTGTTTGTGTAGCGAAAGTAATGTTTATGTCAGGAAAAGTCAGCTGATCACCTTTTTTTGAGTATGGAAATTGAAGATTTTCGAGGGATCTCAGCTGTATGGAAATGGGCTGTTTTCGAATACAGAGTGATGAAAAAACTATAAATTCCGGTTTTGCTCCGGAAGTAATACTGTAAGTCCTGCAGACTGTGGTTAAATTACGTCCATATGTTTAGTTGTAAGCAAAGGAAATTGATTTTTATCCAACGTCAAAAGATAGCAGCATCGTTCCCAAACTTTAGCCCTTACTGGACTTAAGTAATGCCATTCTACGTGAAAATACCTTTAATTTGACACCTCAAACGTTAAAATCTGTGAAGCCGTTAACGAGTTATGACTGTAAAAATAAAAATGCTTGCGTATTGGTATATAGATATTGAATTACTGTAACATAATTTTAGCGAATTTCCCATACAGGGAATAAGCTATTACCGTAGTACTCATGGTAAGACCTGGACCCGGGACCGATTTAATTTTTCATTTTGAGGTCCCTAGAGGCCATAAACACCATCCGTCCAAATTCAGTTATATATATATATATATACAAGAGGTTTTACCCGCGAATTCACGGGTGTACAGAAGCCAATAATAAAATTAATTTTATCAACTTTGACTTTATATTTCATTTAAAGGGCCCAAGTTCAAGAAATTGTCATCTGAAAGGATGCTAAAAGCAGTGGAACCTCCATACCTTACGTTCTTAGGTGGCCGAGGTGGGTACAGTTATAACTGAACACGCCGCTCTCGTTCACGAGTCTTTAATACTTTACTTTAGACTTATCAATCAAATGGCGACCTGTTAAAGATCGGCAACAACCTCTTGGAACGAACAACATACATGGTTTGTTAATCTCATATTCATCGTGCTTCGAACACCTACGTAATCACTCACTTGCATCAACAGTTAGAAATAGCTTCACTATCGATTCACCGACCTATTTAAGAACATAAAATACCCCCGCCGCAGCAAACCTACAGACTTAGCGAATTTCCATTTGCCTGATTGGATTTAAACTAAAATGTCTCCTTAGAAATATCACATTTATTCCCTATTTAAACAGAATTAGTTTAATGAGTACTTAGGTTTGCTGCAACAGGGAGGGTAAACAAGTTTTTTATGTAGAATATTAAAAGGTACTGTGGTTTAGTAAGAAATTAATGTATTTTCCAACTTTTATCAAAATATGTCCATAAACAAGCAAACTACAACAGTTGACTTATTCTCCATAAGAATAACATGGGAATTTTAAAATTACAATTTTAGAATTTTTTCCGTAACAATTAGGCGCATAATAATGCTTCAATATACTAAATTATTTTTTTTTAAGCTCTACAAAATGGTTTAAAAAGAAATTATGAAATTTTGTGTTTTTAGGGTAAAAATGGGAAAACCCTATTTTTATCCCATAAAACCCCCCATAAACCCCCGTTCCCATAGTCCGATCATGCTGGTTCGCGAACTCATTCAAGTTTATCCTGCCTTACACCATAGATAAAACATACTCCCTTAGGGTGTACATTTTGGTAAATACAACACATTTTCCCTTGTGTTGCTTAGTCTATGCTTACACCTTCAAACCAAATTTTATCAAAATCGGTCAAAAATTACTCAAGTTGTGCGGATGGACACACACACACACACACATATATATATATAGATATATATATATACATATATATCTGTATATAAATATATAAAAATTTAAACGAATTGTGTTTTTGTCTCTGGGGACATCAAAATGAAAAAGTAAATCGGTCCCGGGCTTAGGTCTTACCATGAGACCTACGGTAATAGCTACTTCCCTATAGGGAAATTCGCTAAAAGTAAATAATAAAAAAAGTAAACAAAATTGTAAACAAACAAACTGTATTGTCAATTGCACTGGCCAGCTGTTGTTCACTAAATTAATCAAATAACGTTAACTTCCAAAACATGCAAGGTGTAGCCCTTTGGAAATCAGCCTGTGGGGCAGAACCCTTAGGGAGTTCGTCCATATCAATACTTTTCGGCAAATCTACACACTCTAAGCTTCATTTTTAGCGAATTTCCCTATAGGGAAGTAGCTATTACCGTAGGTGGCATGGTAAGACCTAGGCCCGGGACCGATTTGCTTTTTCATTTTGGATGTCCCCAGAGGCCAAAAACACCATTCGTTCAAATTTTTATATATGTATATATATATATATATAAATTTATATATATATATGTGACCGTGACCGCGATAACTTGAGTAATCTCCGATTTTGATGAAATTTGGTTTAAAGGTGTAAGGCGGGATAAACTTGAATGAGTTCGCGAACCCGCATGATCGGACTATGGGAACGGGGGTTTATGGGGGGGTTTTATGGGGTAAAAATAGGTTTTTCCAATTATTGACCCTAAAAGCACAAAATTTCACAATTTCTTTCTAAACCATTTTGTAGAGCTTAAAAAAACAAATAATTTAGTATATTGAAGCGTTATTATTTGCCTAATGAATACGGAGAAAATTCAAAAATATTGTAATTTTAAAATTCCCATGTTTTTCTTATGGAGATAAGTCAACTGTTGTAGTTTGCTCGTTTATGAACATATTTTGATCAAATTTGGAAAATACATTAATTTCTTACTAAACTACAGTAACTATTAACATTTTACATAAAAAACACTTTTTATCCTTCCTGTTGCAGCAAACCTAAGTACTCGTTAAACTAATTCTATTTAAATAGGGAATAAATGTGATATTTCTAAGGAGAAAATTTAGTGGAAATCCAATGAGGCAAATGGAAATTCGCTAAGCCTGCAGGTTTGCTGCGGCGGGTGTATTTTGATATGCCATATGCCTATATTTTTATTTGGTAAATGGCCTTAACCGTTTACATAAAATTTGATTGTATCACTTTAATAATATCTTACTAATATTATAAATGTGAAAGTTTGTGTGTTTGTTTGTTAGTTTGTTTGTGTGTTTGAAGTTCAATCACGCATAAACCACTGGACGGATTGGGCTGAAATTTTGCATCATGATAGCTTACATTCCCGATTATCATATAGGCATATATTCTTATTATAACAGGTTACGTACCTTGACGTCCACAATTCCTTAGTCGGTGTCTGTTGACTATAGTTTCGACTACTACGTAGTCATTATCAAAAACAGAACGTTAAAATAATTACATTCGTTAAATGTCGTCAAATCTTAAATATATCGAACACACAAACAAACATAACACGAACACGGTAGACATTTAAATGTTCATCGGGAATGTGAGCTATCATCATGCCAAATTTGAGCCCAATCCATCCAGTAATTAATGCGTGATTGAACTTCAAACACACAAACAAACAAACACACAAACTTTCACAATTATAATATTATCCTACTAATATTATAAATGAGAAAGTTTGGATGTATGGATGGATGTATGGATGTATGTTTGTGACAAGTGAACGCGAAAAATACTGGTCGGATTGGGCTGAAATTTGGCATGATGATAGCTCACATTCCCGATTAACATATAGGCATATTCTTATTTCAAAAATCCTTTCGGGCTCCGCCCCAGTGGCTCTGGGGTTTCCCATGTTAACCTTATGAGAAATGTAATTATTGAATCTTAACAGCTGTTTCAATTAAACAAGTTGGTTCTGTTCTATGATGTTCAATAGCATTAAAGTTAAAAGGATTACCAACAGGGTGCAGCACTATTATTTCTTTTACATTTATGACAACAGCTAATTTGCAACCAAAAGGTGAGTGAGCGTAGCGAACGAACTTCAACCTGGAGGCGAGTTAGCGTAGCGAACGAATTTCAACCTGGAGGCGAGTTGGCGTAGCGAACGAGCTAACTGAAGGCAAGTGAGCGCAGCGAACGAGCTCCAACCTAAAGGTGAGTGAGCGTAGCGAACAAACTTCAACCAGGACGTGATTGAGCCATGCGAACGAGATAATCTTGAAAATTAAGAAGTTAAACGGGGCAAAGCTCGCGTGTTACAGCTAGTAATATAATATTATAAATGTGAAATTTGTGTGTTTGTTTGTTTGTGTGTTTGAAGGTCAATCGCGCATAAACCACTGGATGGATTGGGCTGAAATTTGGCGTGATGATAGCTCACATTCCCGATTAACATATAGGTATATTCTTATCTCAAAAATCCCTTCGGGCTCCACCCCAGTGGCTCTGTAGTTCCCCATGTTAACCTTATGAGTATTCATATTTAAAGGGAATTGAAGAATTTAGTCAGCTGATTTAACTAAATAAGTTGGTTCTATGATATGGAAAAGCATTAAAAAGTTATAAGATTTAACAACAGGGTGCAGCACTATATTTTTTTTGCATTTATGAAAACAGCTAATTTGAACTAAGCAGCAGCAAAAGACTGTGATTCGCAATGAGAACTGTCAAAGTAGGATTGTTTACAGTTATGTTTATGTTTTTCATTTCATGAATAATTTGTGATATTTTGCGAATTGTTGATAATTTATTTTTCTCTATTGTTTAGGTGAAGTGGTAGAACATTATGGCTATGGTAGATGTGTAATACTATAGAATACTGTAAATGTAAAAAAGCAAATTTGATCAAACTGTGTCCTCCCTTATTGCAAACTCAAAGCTTGAGTATAACTGCAATAAGCATTTTATACTTATATTCCAACCCCGTACGAAGGACGGGTACTCTGCTAGTAATATCTTCTAATATATAAAATTCTCGTGTCACAGTGTTTGTCTGCAAACTCCTCCGGAACGACTTCACCGATCGTTATGAAATTTGGTGTGTAAATTCTGTAGGTATGCGAATCGGACGTAAACTATTTCCCGTTTCGAAATTCTTAAAAGGGCTCCGCCCCAGTGGCTCTGGAGTTTCCCATGTTAACCTTATGAGAAATGGAATTAATGAATCTTAACAGCTGTTTCAATTAAACAAGTTGGTTCTGTTCTATGATGTTCAATAGCATTAAAGTTACAAGGATTACCAACAGGGTGCAGCACTATTATTTCTTTTACATTTATGACAACAGCTAATTTGCAACAAAAAGGTGAGTGAGCGTAGCGAACGAACTTCAACCTGGAGGCGAGTTAGCGTAGCGAACGAGCTAACCTGAAGGCAAGTGAGTGCAGCGAACGAGCTCCAACCTAAAGGTGAGTGAGCGTAGCGAACGAGCTCCAACCCAAAGGTGAGTGAGCGTAGCGAACGAACTTCAACCTGGAGGCGAGTTAGCGTAGCGAACGAGCTAACCTGAAGGCAAGTGAGCGCAGCGAACGAGCTCCAACCTAAAGGTGAGTGAGCGTAGCGAACGAGCTCCAACCCAAAGGTGAGTGAGCATAGCGAACGAACTTCAACCAGGACATGATTGAGCGATGCGAACGAGATCATCTTGAAAATTAAACGTAACGGTACTTTCTTTCCATCGGTCTGTCTTAGGGGAAACCTATAACTTAGGCGATACGAAGTTCGCCGGGTCAGCTAGTATATATATATATATATATGTATGTGTGTGTGTCCGTTATCGCGATAACTCGAGCAAAAAAATGATCCGATTTTGATGAAATTTGGTACAAACGTGTAAACCTACGTTTATTCGAATGAGTTCGCGATCCAGCATAATCGGACCATGGGAACGGGGTTTATGGGGTGAAAATGGAATTTTCCCATTTTTGACCCAAAAAACAAAAAAATTAGCAATTTCTTTCTAAACCGTTTTGTAGAGCTTAAAAAAAGAAATAATTTAGTATATTGAAGCGCTGTTGTATGCCTAACAGTCACGGGAAAAAATCAAAAATAGTGTAATTTAAAATTCCCATGTTATTCTTATGGAGAAAATGAAAATTGCTGTAGTTTACTTGTTTATGGATATATATTGATAAAATTTGGCAAGTTTTTTTAATTCATCCTATAATATTGAGGTATCGTCAAAAAACAAATTTTACCTTCCCCGTAGCAGCAAACCTAAGCACTTGTTAAATCTATTTAAATGTTATTTAAATAGGGAATAAATATGACTTATTTATGAAAATATTTTAGTAAAAATGTAATCAGACAAGTTGAAATTCGCTTCTTCAGGTTTGCTGCGGCGGGGGTATTTTAATTTACACTTATAAAAATATTTCTTAATTAATTAGTTCTGGCTATGAGGCTATGTATCCTGATTTAATCTTTCAGAACTAATTGAAAATGATTTTACTGGTAGTGAATTAAAAAAAGTAATAATTATGGTAAACAGTGTAGTGGTAGTGAATTAAAGGTAAAGGTCCTAATTTTTTTTACATGCGAAAGGAAAATTATTTGATTGCTGCTACGGCTATGTGTATAAGAGAGTACAAAAAGTATTATGCCTACTTTGGTGGAGTAGGAGTAGTACGATGTACACAAGTTCAATGAATTTATTTTAAATAATTTGAAGGTGGTACAGTTTGATAGTCAAAATGTTAGATTCTTGATACATTTCAAACTAATTGTTGACAACTGTCTCTGGTTCCTCCCCTTGCTGATCTTCCGTTTGTGAAGATCTTATGTATTGCCCCAGGCTTGCTTCTGCGTTGGCCTTGGCTCTGATCATAAGTTCCTCTTGTGCTTGGACAACTTTGTGTTCGTTACCTCCCCAAACTTGCAGTACAGAAGTCTGCAGGGCTCTCCCGTAGCAGAACGTCAATGGCCATGGTTTGCAAAGTGATGTTTGATTTGCGAATTTGTTTATTGCGTTTAAATTTATTGTTGCCTCATCCTGATACTGACCACCTGATAAGAAAGCTATCCCTGCTACAATTGGAGGTACAGTTCTCTGCAATGTAACTGTAGTTGCCTCTGCAATTTCCTCTGGGGAAAATTTATCTTTTGACATTTGCCCCTGAGTTATCATATTTGTTTTCAAAATTAAACCTTCCAGGAAAACATCGTGATCACTCAAAGCCTTAAAAACAGCCGACAACACTTTTTCTGTTACTTTTTGACAGCGCAATAATGTGTGATTCCCATCTGCTAAAATTTCAGGCTCAATTATGGGCACAATCCTATACGCTTGGCAAACAGAAGCATACCTGGCTATAGTGTTGGCGTTCTCTCTAATCGCTAGATCAGAAGGCGTACGTTGGCCGATTTTGAACACACATCGCCACTTGGCAAAGTGACACCCGATCTTTTTGTACTGTTCACAACGAGGTCCGAGATCGTCTATGCCTTGGGTTGTACATTCATCTTCAGTTCCATATAACGGAACAACACCTTTGTCAACTTTAATACCGGGTATAATCCTCTTTTCACGGAGTAAATCTATTAAAAGAGTTTCTTCGTCATCTGCTTTCTGAAATAAAGTTTCATGGAAACAAACGACGCCAGAAATATATTCTCCCAAGTTTTCGGTTGAAAACAACAGTTTTCGGTACTTCCTGCGGTTTTCCTCGCTGTTTTCCAAATTTATGTCTTTCAGCTTTCTTCCAATCGAAGACACTGATTCGTCTGCTGCTAAAATGCCCTTTCCTGGTGCCAGTAGCGTTTTTGTTATTATCCTCAACTCTTTTTGTGTCTCATCAGGAAGGTAATGGTATATGGTTGATATTGTACTGCAATGAAATGACATTTTTCAAATACAAATAGAAAACTTTTCATTAAATAAACTTTTCTTTTTTCACAAAAATGTCTTCACAAGACAATTTATCAGGATATAGTTAATTTTGATTGCTATGAAATTATAATTAATAAATATGCTATTTACATAAAAAAATATTATTTTGTACGAAAATAAACAATTTTGAAATACTGCAGCAAAGTCGCCATATGACTTTTCCTTTTGTTTAAAAAAACCTTAGACAAATAAATAATCACTTTTATTAATAACAATCTGACAAGTCCCAATGTGTATATAAAAAAAAAAACTGATTGAATATTGTTATTGGATTTCTGTCCCCTTAAATAATTTTACGTATTCATGTTTTGTATAAAAATAAAGTTCTCACTTTGTAGATTTACATACTAGGCTGCTATATTTTACCATACCATATTTCACTAAAATAGTTTTAAATTATGATTCAATAATGATGAGTAAAAACGTATCATATCTTTTTTGATCAGATTCTGACATTATGAGGGTTAGTAAAAAATTTGCTCTATGAATACTATTTTAATGGCTTAAGTTATCAGAGATTGACCCATTGTCTAGGATTTGGTATTGGTATATATACCATTTTCTCAGTAATATTAAGAAATAGTAAATTAATTATTGATAATAGTATGATGATAAACGGTAACATACCCCGAACTTCATATGTCATGGATCTATGCCAAAGCCAAACCTGTAACTTAATGGGATTTGTTTTTCATGGCCTACTACTGTACAGTATACGGAGCCCTAATCCCTGGATACTCTCAGGTTCTCATGACCATGTACATGACATTAATCTCTCACACTTTTCAATCCCTCTGGATCTCTCAGAATCTCACCTTTTAAAGGTTGTAGATGATTCCTCCAGCTAATGCGTGAGTAGGTGAGTAGGTAAGTGAGTAGGTAGGTGAGTGAGTAGGTAAATTATAGTACAGATTGACCAATATGGTTCAAGGGTAATTTCTAACATGCAGATTGCAGATTGACCATTCAATCAATCTGCAATCTGCATGTTAGAAACGACCCTTGAACCATTGGTCAATCGGTACGCACGCAAGAATATACCTACTCACTGAAAATGGAAAGTCAAAAGTTGCAGTTATACAGTACATTGCAGTTATACTCATGCTCTGAGTGCGTTTGCAATTAATTATAGGGGAGGAAACGGTTTGAGAAAATTTGGTTCTTTAAATTTACGGCATGCTATAGTATGACACATCTACCGTAGCCATAATGTTCTATCACTGAGCCTAAACAATTAAAAAAGTAATTAAATTATCAAACGTTCGCACAATATCTATTAACTAAAACTATTTATTACATAAAAAAATAAACATAACTGTAAACAATCCTATACTTTGACAGTTCTCATTGTGTTTCACCACTAACACTTTTTGTTGCTGATTAGTTTAAATTAGCCGTAGTCATAAATGGGGAAAAAACATTAATAGTGCTGACCTTGTTGGTAAACCTTGTACGGTTGGATCTTTTAGCTAGAAGTGGTTAAGGTGTGGTGGAATATCTTTGAAGATGAACCTAATCAACCTATTTGGCTGTAGTGCGATCATGTGTTCATACGTGTCAAATTTTGAGGTGAAATCAAAACAAACAAACTGGCATTTTGTCAATTAAGCTGGGTTTTCCTAGGCGCGGAAGCGGAGAGTGGAGAGAGGAACGCGGAGAGCGGAAAAGAGATTAACATGGTGTTCCTCTCCGCTTCTAGGAAAACAGTAACATTAAATTACCTAAGACAAGTGGAGTCCGCTCTCCGAGTTCCTCTCTCCGCTCTCCACTTCCGTGCCTAGGAAACCCCGGCTTTAGGCATTTAGGGGCCGTGTTGTATTCTTTACAAAAGAATGCTCATTTAAGATCAAATGAATTAGTTGTATATTTCATTGCCTAATTTATTGGAAAACATTCAGTATTTAGGCTACTGCATAAAAACCAAACTCGAATATTGCTGTTTGTATGTGGTGAACTTATCTGATTATTCTTATTTCTGATTGCATTCATGAATTATCAGCAATAAAATTAGCTGTTAATTATGATTTAAAAGGGTGGGAAAGGGTCAAAACGTTAGTTTATAAAGGTTTATCTCATCATGTCGAGAGTTTTTAATTCTGGTCCCTAAACTTGAAACCCAAAAGGCGGATCTATATTTGTATGTTAAGAGATTTCAAAACAAAACGAAACAACGAAACGTAAATCATTACGGGTTAACTGTACTGCAACTGCATGACCACGGCACACTAGCGTCTCATTTTCCTCTTCGAGGAACTGATAACCTTTTCTGAGGAGTGGGGATTGTGGGATAAGCTATTACCGCTATTACCATGGTGGGACCTGGGCCCGGGACCGAATTACTTTTTCGTTTTGAGGTCCCCAAAGGCCAAAAACACCATCCGGCCAAATCTAATGTATAAAAATTCTCGTGTCACAGTGTTTGTCTGCAAACTCCTCCGGAACGACTTCACCGATCGTTATGAAATTTGGTGTGTAAATTCTGTAGGTATGCGAATCGGACGTAAACTATTTCCCGTTTCGAAATTCTTAAAAGGGCTCCGCCCCAGTGGCTCTGGAGTTTCCCATGTTAACCTTATGAGAAATGGAATTAATGAATCTTAACAGCTGTTTCAATTAAACAAGTTGGTTCTGTTCTATGATGTTCAATAGCATTAAAGTTACAAGGATTACCAACAGGGTGCAGCACTATTATTTCTTTTACATTTATGACAACAGCTAATTTGCAACCAAAAGGTGAGTGAGCGTAGCGAACGAACTTCAACCTGGAGGCGAGTTAGCGCAGCGAACGAGCTAACCTGAAGGCAAGTGAGCGCAGCGAACGAGCTCCAACCTAAAGGTGAGTGAGCGTAGCGAACAAGCTCCAACCCAAAGGTGAGTGAGCGTAGCGAACGAACTTCAACCTGGAGGCGAGTTAGCGATGCGAACGAGATCATCTTGAAAATTAAACGTAACGGTACTTTCTTTCCATCGGTCTGTCTTAGGGGAAACCTATAACTTAGGCGATACGAAGTTCGCCGGGTCAGCTAGTGGTTATGGCTGACAGTTATGTGAGGCTTAACTAGTGAGTATTAGGACTATCCGCTGTACTATCCTGATAATTAGACCAATTCGTATATACCAAGGAAATATGTGGTTCGGATTCCACTATAAATTGTAGGCGCCTTAGTTGCCATTAGCTGTTTGGGCTATTAATTAACAGCTGTGTCTAAGGAATGTCGGCCTTAGTCACTAATAAGACTACAAGATCACGCCACTCATCCTACACTCATCTCCATTCATACTTGGCTTAAAATACCTACATTGTATGGTCGCCATTTCATAAGAAGTATAAAGTAAAGTTAAGTATAAAGTATAAAGTTCGTTCGCTACGCTCACTCACCTTTAGGTTGGAGGTAGTTCGCTGCGCTCACTTGCCTTCAGGTTAGCTCGTTCGCTACGCTAACTCGCCTCCAGGTTGAAGTTCGTTCGCTACGCTCACTCACCTTTTGGTTGCAAGTTAGCTGTTGTCATAAATTTAAAAAAAAATAGTGCTGCACCCTGTTGGTAATCCTCGTAACTTTAATGCTATTGAACATCATAGAACAGAACCAACTTGTTTAATTGAAACAGCTGTTAAGATTCAATATTTCCTTTTAAATATGAAAAATCATAAGGTTAACATGGGAAACTCCAGAGCCACTGGGGCGGAGCCCGAAAGCCCGATCAAAATAAAAACTACTTAGTTTTCCTATTTAATGCCCAAAGAATCGGTGTACCGAATTTCAGCCTCCTAGGTAAATGGGAAGTGGGAGAAATAGTGATGAGTGAGTGAGCGAGTCAGTGAAGGCTTTGCCTTTTATATATATAGACTAGCTGTACCCGCGGGCTTTGCCCCGTTTAACTTCTTAATTTTCAAGATGAGCTCGTTCGCATGGCTCAATTACGTGTTGGTTGAAGTTCGTTCTCTACGCTCACTCACCTTGTTGGAGCTAGTTCGCTGCGCTCACTTGCCTTCAGGTTAGCTCGTTCGCTACGCTAACTCGCCTCCAGGTTGAAGTTCGTTCGCTACGCTCACTCACCTTTTGATTGCAAATTAGCTGTTGTCATAAATAAAAAAAAAACAATAGTGCTGCACCCTGTTGGTAATCCTTGTAACTTTAATGCTATTGAACATCATAGAACAGAACCAACTTGTTTAATTGAAACAGCTGATAAGATTCATTAATTCCTTTTAAATATGAAAAATCATAAGGTTAACATGGGAAACTCCAGAGCCACTGGGGCGGAGCCCGAGGGTCCGATCAGAATAAAAACAACTTAGTTTTCCTATTTAATACCTAAAGAATCTGTGAGCCAAATTTCAGCCTCCTAGGTAAATGGGAAGTGGGAGAATTAGTGATGAGTGAGTGAGTGAGTGTGTCAGTGAGGGCTTTGCCTTTTATAAGTATAGATATTTTTTATATTATCAGCAAGTTTAGTTCGTTCAATTAGGTTATGATAGTTTAATTTTAAAATAAAAAATTTAAAAATTATAAGTAAACCTTCGTTCGATTTTTGCTTATTATCTTTTAGCGAATTTCTCATATAGGAAATAAGCTATTACCGTAGGTCTCATAGTATGACTTGGACCCAGAGCCGATTTATTATTTCATTTTGTTGGCCCTAGAAGCCAAAAACACCATATCTGTTCAAATTCATATATATATATATGTATATATATATATATATATATGCGTGTGTGTGTGTGGGTGTGTGTGTGTCCTTTAGCACGATAACTCGAACAAAAATAATCCAATTTCGATTAAATTTAGTACAAACGTGTAAACCTACGTTTATTCGAAGAAGTTCGCGAACCAGCATGATCGGACCACGGGGACGGGGTTTTATGGGATAAAAATTGTGATTTCTCGTTCTGACTCTCAAAACTTAAAATTTCCCAAATTTTCACTAAACCATTTTAAAAAGCTTAAAAACCAATAATTTAGTATATTTAAGTGTTTCTGTATGATTATTGGTTGCGGTGAAAATTGTAAATTAAACATTCCCATGTTATTCTTATTGAAAATAAGTAAACTGTTGTAGTTTGCTTGTTTATGGATATTGGATCAAATTTGTTAAATCTATTGATTTTATACTAAGCTATTAATATTTTACTAAAAAGCACAATTTATTACCCTCCCTGTAGGCAGCAAACCTAGGTACTCGTTAAACCTAAGGTTATTTGAATAGATTTCATTGAAAATCAAATAAGGCAAATGGAAATTCGCTTAGTCTGCAGGTTTGCTGCGGCGAGGGTATTTTATATTATCAGCAAGATTGGTTGGTTTTGGTTAGGTTAGGCTATGACAGTTTAATTTTATTATAAAATGCCCCCGCCGCAGCAAACCTGCAGACTAAGCGAATTTCAACTTGTCTGAATACATATTTACTAAAATATTTCCGTAATTAATACATTAAATAACATTAGATTTAACGAGTGCTTAGGTTAGCTGCTACGGGGAAGGTAAACAGTGTTTTTTGACCATATGTCAATAATATATGATGAAATAAATAAATTCGCCAAATTAGATCAACATATATCCATAAAGAAGTAAACTACAACAGTTTTCATTTTCTCCATAAGAATAACATGGGAATTATAAATTTGCACTTTTTGAATTTTCTCCGTAACCATTAGGCATACAAACGATGCTTCAATATACTAAATTATTTCTTTTTTTTAAGCTCTACAAAATGGTTGGGAAATAAATTCCAACATTTTATGTTTTTAGGGTCAAAAATGAGAAAACCCCATTTTTACCCCAATAAAACCCCTCATAACCCCCCGTTCCCATGGTCCGATCTGGTTCGCAAACTTGTTCGAATAAATGTAGGTTTACACGTTTATACCGAATTTCATCAAAATCTGATATTTTTTGTTCGAGTTATCGTGCTAACGGACACACACACACACACACACACACATACACACACATACACACACACACACACACACACATATATATACCGGGTGATTAAAAATGAATAGCCTGGTTTTAACGCTTCATAACGTGTATACTATTACACTTACCGCTATAAAACACATCAAATGAAAAAGCAACTCAAAGAGTTTATGTCTTCCAAATAAGACACCTTATTTAACAAAATCGATCCAGTAGAACTGTAGATTTAATCGTTCAAAGTTAAAGAGTCATCTCCAACTTTTTTCAATAACCACTAAAAATTTGAGGTTACTTAACGTTTTTGGAAATAACTTTTAAATGGTGAGGAAATCGACGAAACTGGAAGGAAATATTCCGAAAGAGAATAAAATTTCCTACAAATTACTATCAAGCATTTTTTGAAAATACTCAGTAAAGGCAGCCAAAAATTGCCAGAACGAAACAAAAATTTAAAATCCCCATTTTTATGTCAATTAATATTCTACATTGAAAACGGAAATTTTCACATACAGGTATTTTTATTTTGTGGCAATTTTTGGCTGCCTTTGAATGAGTATTTTTAAGAAATGCATCATAGTAAATTGTAGGAAATTTTATTCTCTTTCGGAATATTTCCCTCCACTTTGGTTGATTTCCCCACCATTTAAAAGTTATTTCCAAAAACGTCAAGCAACCTCAAATTTTTAGTGGCGAAAAAAGTTGGAGATTTCATTTTAACTTTGAACAATTTAATCTACAGTTCTACTGGATCGATTTGTTAAATAATGTGTCTTTGGAAGACATAAACTCTTGGAGTTGTTTTTCATTAGATGTGTGTTTTGTAGCGGTAAGTCGGTAAGTGTAATGTAGTATAAAAGTTATAAAGCGTTAAACCAGGCTATTCATTTTGAATCACCCGGTATATAAATATACATAATATATATTATATATATGAACTAGCTGACCCGGCGAACTTCGTATCGCCTAAGTTATAGGTTTCCCCTAAGACAGACCGATGGAAAGAAAGTACCGTTACGTTTAATTTTCAAGATGATCTCGTTCGCATCGCTCAATCACGTCCTGGTTGAAGTTCGTTCGCTACGCTCACTCATCTTTGGGTTGGAGCTCGTTCGCTACGCTAACTCGCCTCCAGGTTGAAGTTCGTTCGCTACGCTCACTCACCTTTTGGTTGCAAATTAGCTGTTGTCATAAATGTAAAAGAAATAATAGTGCTGCACCCTGTTGGTAATCCTTGTAACTTTAATGCTATTGAACATCATAGAACAGAACCAACTTGTTTAATTGAAACAGCTGTTAAGATTCATTAATTCCATTTCTCATAAGGTTAACATGGGAAACTCCAGAGCCACTGGGGCGGAGCCCTTTTAAGAATTTCGAAACGGGAAATAGTTTACGTCCGATTCGCATACCTACAGAATTTACACACCAAATTTCATAACGATCGGTGAAGTCGTTCCGGAGGAGTTTGCAGACAAACACTGTGACACGAGAATTTTATATATTAGATATTTTTTACAATTGTGTGGATTGTGCGGACGTTAATCCATACCGGGGAGCATCGCATCCACAGTGCATCCCTATAAATATCCACAATTCGTGACCTCCTAGTATAGCTGGATTACAGGACGACGCCACCCGTCCCAGTCGAACTTCAACCAGAACGTGATTGAGCCATGAGAACGAGCTCACTTATGAAGTTAAACGGGGCAAAGCCCGCGGGTACAGCTAGTATCAGATAAAAATCGAATGAAGGTTTACTAATAAAAAAAATAGTTCTGTTCATAAATAAAATTATAAATGTCTCAAATTCTAACAAAAGATGTACATTTAAGAAGTATTCGCATTCTAAGCCAAATCTTGGACAAAAAGTTAGTGTCGCCGGCGGGATTTAAACTGGAGACAACCAGATCACCAGTGCGAGACGCTATCAACTACGCCACCAACACCGATGGAATCATATCGTCTCGTTACCCTCAAGAGAAGAGTGACGTCAAGCCCCCCGCTCATTCTCTAAAGAGGTTCTCATCAGTTCCCGGAAGAGGAAATCGAGGCGCTATATAGATGACGTCCCATTCCATCGTACCTACAGCCAAGGTAATGGTGTTCCCACAGCCAATCAGGAGCCTCCAAATGACACTGTTTGCAAAACTAATTCTGAAATAAAAATACGGCAGCAGGGAAGCGCAAGGCCCCACTAGAAAAAGATTTTTCTAGTGGGGCCTTGGGAAGCGGCTGCTAGTCCGTACTTGTCCGTACTAGTAATTCGTGGTCTGTACGATAATTTGAGGACCATTGCACAATAATTTGTTTGTTTGAGGATCAATCAGCTGTTCCATCCGCTATGACGTTATTCCCGCGTGTTATAAGCTATGCCACGTTTTGAAAATTATAAGCTATAACTTAGAACAAACGTTATAAGCTATGCCACATTTCCATGATTATAAACTATGGAACAAATTTGCAATTATAAGCTATGACATCGAACCCTCTGCTCTGTCAGTCTGTCACTGTCATCTGTCAAGTTGAGTGCCAAGTTTATTCCTTCCCTTGGCCATCAATACTTGACTAGACTGTACCTACTGTTTTTTTACTTATTACTTATTTCATTTCTCGTTGTTGCACAACAGCACAACTATTCAGTGTACCTAATTAGGCACACATTTTACATTTTTGCTCACTGTTAAAACATTTCTACAATATGCTAACTGCAAGTACAAAATGTATGAAATACTTACTATTTATTTCAAACTTCATATTTGTGGTAAGTTCTTACATTTTAATGGCAATAATTATTTAACTTGGTTACGTAAGTTAACCTCTGAAAGGCAGGCCTAAATATCCCTACTATAGTCCAAAGATGCAAGTTTTATCAAGTCAGTTACGTACAGTGGCGGCGGCGGGCCCGCGAGCTAGGGGGGCCCGTGAGCCTTGACCGGGATATTCGGTTTACCGGCACACGGGCCCGCGATAGTGTGACAGGCTCAGCCACACTGGTCCCCTATCATAACAATATTTATATGAGAATTAAAATACGTTTTTTTATGATGAACATTTGTTCAAACCTATAGTTCAAGTAGTTTACAACAGCTAAACTAACACTATTACTTGACCGATCGATATAAATTATCTACCAACTGTCCTCGTGGATTGTGTGAAGGCGCAGTCAAAATTGGTTGCATAATAATATTGCCGTATTTGTAACCAATGTGGCCTCTGGCCTAGGAAGATAAAACATTAATGTTAATCCTCCTAGCCCCCAGTGGGTGACACCATAGAGGATCCTCTATGCTGATTCAACTTAAATAAACTTGACAATTTTGTTACGACCAATCGGCAAATTAACCTAGGTGGCTGGGGCACTACCTAATAAATAATTCCATTCTTTCATTGATACTAAAGAGGGATTTTCATTTCATTACATGTCTTACTATTAGGAGGCCGCCCTTTAGATTTGTTTACTTCACACTTTAGATGTGTTTACATTGAGTCAGGTAAGCGAGAGATATATCTAGGATTTAGCCGCGATTACGGAATAATGATTTACCCGTCACCACCGATGGATCGCGGGGAGATATTAGGCCGTTATATTCGATTGGGCTGTGAACGTGGGAGACGATGATACTGCTATCTAATGATGTCATAGGTTTGGTTGCATTTGCAATCACGGTATGTAAACTATGTTAATGTTTCTTCCAAGACTTATGACTACGGGAAGTATTTATGATTTTGCCGCGATCATGGAAGACGATAATGACGCCTCGGGAGATGCCTTGTCAAGTTTATTGCAAAATTTAAAGTTTGGGCAGTAATACATGGGAAAATTTTTTAAAGATCATTGAGAGAGGGGGGCCCGGCGAAAAAACTTGCGGGGGGGCCCGCGGGTTCTTATCGCCGCCACTGGTTACCTAGGCTGGTAGGCAGAGGATATGCGTCCGGTAGGATTAGGTCCGGCAGTTACTGTCATAACCTAACCTAACCAACCAAACTTGCTGATGATAAAATCGAATAGGCTAACGTTTAAATTCTGTTCATAAAATAAAATTATAAAAACCTCAGATTCTATTAAAAGATGTACAGTTAAGAAGAAATTGCATTCTAAGCAAAATCTTTGACAAAAAATTAGTGACACTGACTGAATTCGATCTAAGTTAAGTACCTTTTGAATATCAGCCGAGTACTCCACTACACCACAAACACCGATGGCATTCCACCGTATCGTGTTAATGGTGTTCTGGGCCCCCACAATCTGGTGACGTCACTGCCGGACGCCTATCCTTTGCATATTTAGTATAGGCCTTAGGTGCCTCCAAACAAATTTTTAATTTTGATGTCTAACTTTATAGTTTTTTTACCTCCTGAATCCAAATATATCATTTTATTGTTCTCAGCAAATAAATATTACTGAAGATATACGGTACCTAGTGGTTAAAATGTAGCCCTACAATGTTTAAATAGCCTAAACAAGGTAAATCAATCAATCAAACATCATTCGCAAACAGCCAGACTTCTGTTATCACGTCTGGTAAATCCTTCACATAGAAGAGGAACAAAATGGGTCCCAAATTTGAAACCTGTGGTAAGCCTGGAAGTTGAAAAACAAATTTTAGGGTTATAACTTAACTTACAATAGCCTTATTTATACTGTGAATTATATATTTATGATGTATTTACAATATATCCAGTTCAACTTATTTTAGGTTATGTTTAACAAATGTCAAACAAGGATATTTTGCTATTACCGAACGTAACAAGTCAGCCAATCAAAATCAAGCTATCATTTTAACCCATAGATCGCCAGTCACATTAGCCTCACCCAGAGGGTTAACTCAAACCTAAAACTTAGTTATTATTTTGGGTTAATTTTCAGCAAATTATTTTGGGGAAGGTAAATCTGAGGATAAACTAAAGTTTAACCCTCCGAGTGTCACGCGTCATAAAAATGACGCACAACACACTTTGTGTAGGGTCACGCGTCACTTTTATGACGCACAAACATCGTTTACGGCGAAGGCTCTATGACTGACTGAATCGGATTGAACTGGATCGAGTTAGGTATCGTTCTTTCCGTAATATTCTAAGCTTTCTCCAGAGGTCTGTCTCTAAGCGCTATTCATTTTAGTTCCGAAAATATTGTAGCAGACAGCTGACGTGCGTGTATTTGTAAACAGCTAGGTTCCCCCGGACCGATGACTGATGTGTTTTATTACGTTTATCATTGTTTTAGTGTTAAAAATCAAAAGTAGTGATATACGTGGTGCATTATAAGAAGATTTAAGTGGTTTTGAAGTGCTGGTTGATGATCCTGAAGAAGTAGGTAGTGATATTGATGTAAATTATCAGCCAGATTCCTAGCTATGGTTAGGCTATGCATTCTTAGCTAAACGCTATGTACTGAAATCCGTTTTTCGCTCATAACTTATTTATTTGATAACTTACCTCGCTATATGATTATATATTTGTAATCCTCATTAAATTTAGAACAAAGTGGCTATTTTCAAATATTTATAGGCCTATAATTTATACAATTTCATTGAGCGCGAACTTATTTTTTTTTTGAAAATTTTCGAAATTATATTTTTTTTTTACCTAAAAAATTTTTTTTTGAAAAAATGTTCCTTATGTTTTATATATAATATTGAAGCCCATGATTTTCCAAACAAAATGGTATATAGAACATTAGAATTAACATTGTTTTAAGCTTCTCAGATCCGTTTTAATAAAACCTTGCAAAGGGGCCAAAAATAAGTGGACATTAAGGCCTAAACTATGGACACTCGGAGGGTTAGACCGCAATCAGAGTTAAACTAGATTTGTGGAAAGCGGCCCTTGATTAACCCTAGCCAACTGTTACCCTCTGGATTCTTACCCTATGAATAGCCATTTTATTAAATCAAATGAATCTTTATTGTATAGACCTAAAGAGCATTGATCATGCCATATAAGGCCAGGGACACACTTACCGGCGAAACCACCGGACGCCGGATCCGGCGGCGCCGGAGCAAGTTGAGATACACAGGAAGGCATGGGGCAGGCCACACTTCTCCGGTTCGGCGAATCTGCCGATCCGGCGGGAAAATGCTCCGGCGAAACCACCGGATATTCTCTACCTCGCCGGATCGGCGGTTTCGCCGGAGCAGTGGGTAGCGGGGCATTGTGCCTTATGGAGATGAACACACTTACCGGCAAAACAGCCGGACTGCGACTGCCCCCACTCCTCAGTCTTGGTTCAACCCTCGAGGGTGGTGATTGTTTATGATTTGTATGCAGTGTCCAAGTGGTGTATTTAGTTTTGTTTTGCTATTTAGTTAATTTAGTTTTTGTTTAGTCTGTTGATCATTTTAGTCTGTTTATCTGTATATCATCATGGTAGATGTTGATATGGATTTACTTATTAGTTTGGTTCATGAGAAACCAGAACTTTGTGATAGGTCTTTGGAAATTTACAAAGACAAAAACAAAACGAGGGGCAGCAGCAGCTGGCGACAAATTTGTGCCGCACTGAATCCAGCCTTTCCAGCGTCTCATGTATATGTTTTGTCCTTGTTTTTGCACAGTAATCTTCGATAGTAGCTCGTCGAATGAGGGGACAGACATTCGAAAATAATTAAAAAACTTATTGTCTTCATTTCTCAACTGTAAAAATAGAGTGTAAAAAGCTTCATGTAGCTGTCTGTTCTCCAGAATAGGATGTACCCAAACAGTTCGGTGGTGTTTTCTCTTCCTTCTGTGGTGGATCTAACACAGCAAGGCCAACTTTTGAGGTCTCGACAGCACCATTTCTAAGACGGGTCGCCGGATTTCTACCCCCGGATATTTACCCCCATGAAAAAACGCCTACGTCACTTTGACGTCACATGTATGGGGGTAGATTTCCGGCCGCGAACTTTTAGGATGGATAAATTATTATTTATTCAATCAACTCGCATTTCACGGTTAACTTAACAGTTGTAATTAATCAAAATGCTAATAAACCTGACACCGGATCTTTACCCCCGGAAATCTACCCCCAGACATCTACCCCCGGACATCTACCCCCGGACATCTACCCCCAGACATCTACCCCCGGACATCTACCCCCGGACATTTACCCCCAGACATCTACCCCCGGAAATCTACCCCCAGAAATGTACCCCCAGTGGTCAAATCATAAATGCCCGACCCCGGAATTCTACCCCCGGAAATCTACCCCCCGTGCTGACGGGGTTCACCTAGTATCTAGTATTAAGCATGTGATATGTCGTTGTCTTGTTTAATGTCATCTATCTTCCCAATTCATTAAGCTGTAACTGATTTAGGTGTCATTTTTAAGTTTAAGATTCAGTGCAACGCAAATGGTAATTAAAAAGGATATTTTGATAAAGGGCTTCAAAAGTTTAACCCATAAGCATTTGATTTATTTTCAGACAGTGATTTAAATGGTTGACCAATTTTCACATACACTAATAGCTAACGGCACATGTACGAGCGCAGATCGTTAAATTTAAAACATAACACTGAAGGAGGTTATTTTCTGATTACTAGTGGTAAAAAATGCAATTAAATGTTGATAAAATGCCTGCCACAGGTTGATTAATGAATTAATATTTTTTTCATTATTAATTACCTTCCCTTAATACGAAATAGCATAATCCCTATGTCGTAGACACTATCCAGAGTTTTACATTGGCCAAAAAGTCTAGTTGTTTACACAAACAATTAATCGTAAAAAATAAAACATGAACATATTTTATGATTGGTTCTGGTTGTCAATGCTGGTTGTGA